GAAGAATCTGAAGAATCTGAAGAATCTGAAGAATCTGAAGAATCTGAAGAATCTGAAGAATCTGAAGAATCTGAAGAAGCTGAAGAATCTGAAGAATCTGAAGAATCTGAAGAATCTGAAGAATCTGAAGAATCTGAAGAATCTGAAGAATCTGAAGAATCTGAAGAATCTGACGAATCTGAAGAATCTGAGAATCTGAAGAATCTGAAGAATCTGAAGAATCTGAAGAATCTGAAGAATCTGAAGAATCTGAAGAATCTGAAGAATCTGAAGAATCTGAAGAATCTGAAGAATCTGAAGAATCTGAAGAATCTGAAGAATCTGAAGAATCTGAAGAATCTGAAGAATCTGAAGAATCTAAAGAATCTGAAGAATCTGAAGAATCTGAGGAATGTGAAGAATCTGAAGAATCTGAAGAATCTGAAGACTCTGAAGAATCTGAAGAACCTGAAGGATCTGAAGAATCTGAAGAATCTGAAGAATCTGAGGAATCTGAGGAATCTGAAGAATCTGAGGAATCTGAAAAATCTGAAGAATCTGAATAATCTGAAGAATTTGAAGAATCTGAAGAATCTGAAGAATCTGAAGAATCTGAAGAATCTGAAGAATCTGAAGAATCTGAAGAATCTGAAGAATCTGAAGAATCTGAAGAATCTGAAGAATCTGAAGAATCTGAAGAATCTGAAGAATCTGAAGAATCTGAAGAATCTGAAGAATCTGAAGAATCTGAAGAATCTGAAGAATTTGAAGAATCTGAAGAATCTGAAGAATCTGAAGAATCTGAAGAATCTGAAGAATCTGAAGAATCTGAAGAATCTGAAGAATCTGAAGAATCTGAGGAATCTGAATAATCTGAAGAATTGAAGAATCTGAAGAATCTGAAGAATCTGAAGAATCTGAAGAATCTGAAGAATCTGAAGAATCTGAAGAATCTGAAGAATCTGAAGAATCTGAAGAACCTGAAGAATCTGAAGAATCTGAAGAATCTGAAGAATCTGAAGAATCTGAAGAATGTGAAGAATGTGAACAATGTGAACAATGTGAAGAATGTGAAGAATGTGAAAAATCTGAAAAATCTGAAGAATTTGAAGAATCTGAAGAATCTGAAGAATCTGAAGAATCTGAAGAATCTGAAGAATCTGAAGAATCTGAAGAATCTGGTGAATCCGAAGAATCTGGTGAATCTGGTGAATCCGAAGAATCTGAAGAATTTGAAGAATCTGAAGAATCTGAAGAATCTGAAGAATCTGAAGAATCTGAAGAATCTGAAGAATCTGAAGAATCTGAAGAATCTGAAGAATCTGAGGATTCTGAGGATTCTGAGGAATCTGAGGAATCTGAGGAATCTGAGGAATCTGAGGAATCTGCGGAATCTGAGGAATCTGAAGAATCTGAAGAAACTGAAGAATCTGAAGAATCTGAAGAATCTGAAGAATCTGAAGAATCTGAAGAACCTGAAGAATCTGAAGAATCTGAAGAATCTGAAGAATCTGAAGAATCTGAAGAATGTGAAGAATGTGAACAATGTGAACAATGTGAAGAATGTGAAGAATGTGAAAAATCTGAAAAATCTGAAGAATTTGAAGAATCTGAAGAATCTGAAGAATCTGAAGAATCTGAAGAATCTGAAGAATCTGAAGAATCTGAAGAATCTGAAGAATCTGAAGAATCGGAAGAATCTGAAGAATCTGAAGAATCTGAAGAATCTGAAGAATCTGAAGAATCTGAAGAATCTGAAGAATCTGAAGAATCTGAAGAATCTGAAGAATCTAAAGATCTAAAGGATCTAAAGGATCTAAAGGATCAAAAGGATCAAAAGGATCTAAAGGATCTAAAGGATCTAAAGGATCTAAAGGATCTAAAGGATCTAAAGGATCTAAAGGATCTAAAGGATCTAAAGGATCTAAAGGATCTAAAGAATCTAAAGAATCTAAAGAATCTAAAGAATCTAAAGAATCTAAAGAATCTAAAGAATCTAAAGAATCTAAAGAATCTAAAGAATCTAACGAATCTAACGGATCTAACGGATCTAACGGATCTAACGGATCTAACGGATCTAACGGATCTAAAGGATCTAAAGGATCTAAAGGATCTAAAGGATCTAAAGGATCTAAAGGATCTAAAGGATCTAAAGGATCTAAAGGATCTAAAGGATCTAAAAGATCTAAAGGATCTAAAGGATCTAAAGGATCTAAAGGATCTAAAGGATCTAAAGGATCTAAAGGATCTAAAGGATCTAAAGGATCTAAAGGATCTAAATGATCTAAAGGATCTAAAGGATCTAAAGGATCTAAAGGATCTAAAGGATCTAAAGGATCTAAAGGATCTAAAGGATCAAAAGGATCTAAAGGATCTAAAGGATCTAAAGGATCTAAAGGATCTAAAGGATCTAAAGGATCTAAAGGATCTAAAGGATCTAAAGGATCTAAAGAATCTAAAGAATCTAAAGAATCTAAAGAATCTAAAGAATCTAAAGAATCTAAAGAATCTAAAGAATCTAAAGAATCTAACGAATCTAACGGATCTAACGGATCTAACGGATCTAACGGATCTAACGGATCTAACGGATCTAAAGGATCTAAAGGATCTAAAGGATCTAAAGGATCTAAAGGATCTAAAGGATCTAAAGGATCTAAAGGATCTAAAGGATCTAAAGGATCTAAAGATCTAAAGGATCTAAAGGATCTAAAGGATCAAAAGGATCAAAAGGATCTAAAGGATCTAAAGATCTAAAGGATCTAAAGGATTCTAAAGAGTCTAACGAGTCTAACGAGTCTAACGAGTCTAACGAGTCTAGCGAGTCTAACGAGTCTAAGGAGTCTAAGGAGTCCAAGGAGTCCAAGGGGTCTAAGGAGCCTAAGGAGCCTAAGGAGTCTAAGGAGTCTAAGGAGTCTAAAGAGTCTAAAGAGTATAAAGAGTCTAAAGAGTCTAAAGAATCTAAAGAATCTTTAGAATATCAAGAACCTGAAGGATCTCAAGAACCTAAACAATCTCAAGAATCTCAAGAATCACAAGAATCTCAAGAATCTCACGAAACCCAAAAATCTCAAAACCTCAAGGATCTCAAGAATCTCAAGAATCTCGAGAATCTGGAGAATCAAAGTCTAAGAATTTAAAGAATCTTAAGAATATCAAGAATCTCAAGGATCTCAAGAACCTTAAGAATCTCAAGAATCTCAAGAATCTCAAAAAATCTCAAGAATCTCAAGAGTCTCAAGAATCTCGAGAATTTCAGGAATCCCAAGATCTTAAATAGTTTTGAACTGTGTAACAGTAACAAAGGTGGAAGGACCTTAACAATTCACAAAGAAATTCAGAAAGCTGAGTCGTAAATGTTCTCTCAAGGCTCTAAAATGTCTTCAAGAACCTAGCAGAGCCTTGAATAGTCTTTTTCGGAGAATTGCGAGGTTTTAAAAAATCTTTTTCGGAAACTCATATGGAGTTTAAGAGCTTTAAGGGGCTTTTCAGTACACTAAAAGGTTTTAAAAAGCTAAGTGTAGCGGGACTTTAAGGGGTTCTTTGGGGATTTGTGTAGGGTTTCTGTGTCTTTCAGTCGAGGTTCCTAAGGGACACTAAATTAAACGGCGCTGAAAGACCACAAAGCATAGGTAATGCAGGGACCGTGTCTTAACGGTTTTCTCACGGCACGAAAACGTTTTGAGAAACCTCAAAAAAAGTTTGGGGTAACTTTCAAGAGTTTCTTCTGGGGATTTATGTGGGCTATTAAAAGAGTCGTGTAGGTCTTCTCAAGGTCTTATAAAGGTTTAGCCGAATTTTGAAAGGTCTTTTCGGAATACTTATATGGCGCATAAGACTCGTGACGGTCTTGTGAAGGCATTAAAAAAGTATATCAGAGGTTTGAAGGTTTTTTCTGGAGACCCACATGGCCTATAAGAGCCGTGACGGTCTATAAAAAGTGTAACGTAGCTTTGAAGGCTCCTTTCGGGAGACCTATATGACCTATGGGAGTCATTAAAGGTCTTAAGAAACCGTAAAAATGGGTTTGAAGGGTCTTTTAGGGTGACCTATAATTATGACCTATGAGGTCCGTTAAAAGCCTTAATAATGTTTAGGGGATTTCAAGGTTTTTTCGGGAGACATGTGGCTCATAAGAGTCATGGAGGTCCTCCCAAGGCCTTCAAAAGGTTTATTGAAGGGTCTTTTCGGGAGACCTACATAGCCTATGAGAAGGGTCATTATGGCCTATGAAGGTCTTCTCAAAGCACTGGAAGGCTTGAAATAAATTTTGGATGTGAAAAGAAAAATTTGACATCAACACTCCGGGTTGTATTCGAAATACGCTTCAGAACTTGTAAAAAATTGAAGTACGTTTCATAACTTTTTAAAAAGTTCAATAAAAGGATCATTTTTAGTTTCCATGTAAAGTTTTTTATTTAAATTTCAAATTTATATTCCAATTCGACATTCTTACGCCATCTGTGTACTTCACGTACAACTTTTATTTTATCGATGTTATTTTTTTAGTTCTTTATTTTTCCGCTACAGGTCGTGCAGTGACTCTCTCGAGAGACAGACAGTGTGGTCATACGGTGGTGTTATTCTCTATTGGTAGTAGGGAGATTCGCCACCGGATTGGTGGAAACTAAAGTGGTGAATTGATTTTGCTGAACACAATTTTGGTAACATTATTGTAACTATAGTGAAATCTACTAATTCGGTTAAACCAATCAGCTCAATGACAAATCGGAAAAAACGTGGCCACACTGTCTTTATAGAGTCACTGTAGTTTTCGTGCTCTTTCCTTGATTTGTTTTTCCGTGTGCACAGAGCCCATGTAACACAATCGCCTAGAGACGTGCCTTTGAACCACGCCACGTGGTCTTGCCCCCACGGAAATTATGGTTGATGGTTCCTTTACAACAATTACAGGGGAAGTCTAAACTAAAAAGCTTTGTGAATCCTCGGGCACCAGTCCACCAATGCAATTAATTCGAACTTACGTACCCCATCAATAAATGGGTTTCGGATTGCGATATAGATAAAACAAAGTCATGTATTGAAAGTAACACATACGGCATATCCTAAAAGAAACGTATTAACAAAAAGGAATAAGTTTACCTAGAAAGGATTACAGCCCTCCCATTCGCGTAAAGACGCTTACATAAATGATTTAAACAATTGTAGCATGATGACTGTAAATTTTCCACTTCAGGAATAAACATTTTTTGCAAAGACCGACCTGTCATTTCAACGAAAAAAGTAAAAGTGATATCTTTCTCAATACAGGGGAAGGGAATTTTGATTTTGATAGAGTACTTCTACTCTTGAGTGTTTATTTTTGACATAAACTGAAAAAGAAAGGCAAAGCTTCACATCTCCACCTTCTCCATGTCCTCTATCTGAATGCCACGCGCAGGCAAATGTTCATACATCTAAAAAACAACTGCTTAGTTTCAAATGACACAATGGCCACTCGTTACCTGATCCAGATGTCTTTGGTGATCTCCAGCAGAGTGCCTGACTAGAACGCGTGCGACTCGGTGATGCGTGTAGCCTTGCTCGCATGTTACTATCAAGGCGACGTTATCGTAATCGGTGGCAACAACCGCGAATTTCAATTCGTTGACTTGTTCGGCTGAAAATTCACCGTGACTGTGAGATCGACCCGACTACGTGACTTACGAATGTAGGCGTTAATCTCTCGTTCCTCTTGCACGATCGTGTACTCGTGAGTGAACGGATTGTCCTCCCCAAGTGAGTGGACGAGAAGGTATTCTCCCGGTCTTCCGGTAATGGTAACCGTCTGTCCTTCGATAGGCTTAGCCAGCCCCCTGAGTTCCAAGGGCTTGGTAGTGCTAACAGACGCCACGTGCCATCTGCCCTCCATCTGGAAAGAGTTTCAGATCGGTCGGTGTGAATTATTCTCACCTTCGTCATGTCCAAACCGGCAAGGGACTCGTCGTGGGGACATTTTGACGGTTCTGGGCGTGGCGGTTCCACATATGGAGGACTCGTTGCGTAAGTGACGGCAAGAGACATCAACAATACGTGGGCGATCATTTTTGGTAACTAAGCGATTTGTGTGAAATGAAAGGTACTTAATACTGAGAGGTTATCAGCACAATCCCGATATAGGGGTCACGATTCAAATTCCAATTTTTCGTTTGAGATAACAAACGAAGCTTACAATCGAGTGGTGGAAGGGAGGAAAAATATTTCTGGCACAGTTGTATCATGACGATGGCTATAAATGACGATATGAAATCTTAAAAAACGTCTCCAGGTCTCTGACTCCTCCACCATCCAGTGTACTTCAATGTTTCCGCTCCCTGAACATTTTGGGACTTGGTTCCCAAAAAATCCGAAACCCTCGAAGAATCTTCTAATGCAACTCTTGAGAAACTCCTGGTAGGGTCTCTAGAAGAAATTTATGAAAGAATCTTACAGGGAATCACTTTTCAGGAACATATTGGAGAGATGTTGTGTAGGACTCTAGTGAATCCCGTGATAAGTTTCTTGAAAAACTCCGAGGACTCTGTTGGAGAGTCTCTAGATTAATCTCTAAAGAAATCTCTAGAGCAGTAGTGTAAAGCGTCCCATCCAAGGAATTTTTTCAGGATTTTATGGGGGCTGTTTTTGAAATCCCACACATTTTTTAGGAGATCCCTAGTAGACTCCTCACTCAATACCTTCAGCACTTCTTAATGATAAAACTTTTTTACGAAATTTCAAGAATCCTAAGAATCTCTAGAATCTCAGGAAACCCAAGAATCTCAAGAACCTCAAGAATCTCAAGGATCTCAAGAATCTCGAGAATCATAGGAATCTCGAGAGTCTAAAGAATCTCATGAAACTCAGGTCTTAAGACTCTCAAGAGTCTAAAGAATTTCAAGAATTCGAGAATCTCAAGAATCTCGAGGATCTCAAGAATCTCGAGGATCTCGAGAATCTCGAGAATCTCAAGAATTTCAAGAATCTCAAGAATCTCAGGAAACCCAAGAATCTCAGGAATCTCAGGAATCTCAAGAATCTCAAGAATCTCAAGAATCTCAAGAATCTCAAAAATCTCAAAAATCTCAAGAATCTTAAGAATCTCAGGAAACCCAAAAATCTCAAGAATCTCAAGAATCTAAAGAATCTAAAGAATCTCAAAAATCTCAAGAATCTCAAGAATCTCAAGAATCTCAAGAATCTCAAGAATCTCAAGAATCTCAAGAATCTCAAGAATCTCAAGAATCTCAAAAATCTCAAAAATCTCAGGGAACCCAAGAATTTCAGGGAACCCAAGAATCTCAAGAATCTGAGGAATCTCGAGAATCTCAAGAATCTCAAGAATCTCAAGAATCTAAAGAATCTCAAAAATCTCAAGAATCTCAAGAATGTCAAGAATATCAAGAATATCAAGAATCTCGAGAATCCTAAGAATCTCTAGAATCTCAGGAAACCCAAGAATCTCAAGAACCTCAAGAATCTCAAGGATCTCAGAAATCTCGAGAATCTTAGGAATCTCGAGAGTCTAAAGAATCTCATGAAACTCAGGTCTTAAGACTCTCAAGAGTCTGAAGAATTTCAAGAACTCGATAATCTCAAGAATCTCGAGGATCTCGAGATTCTCAATAATCTCAAGAATCTCAGGGTTCCCAAGAATTTCAGGGAACCCAAGAATCTCAAGAATCTGAGGAATCTCAGGAATCTCAAGAATCTCAAGAATCTCAAGAACCTCAAGAATTTCGAGAATCTCAGGAATCTCAAGGATCTCAAGAATCTCGAGAATCTCAAGAATCTCAAGAATCTCAAGAATCTCAAGAATCTCAAAAATCTCAAAAATCTCAGGGAACCCAAGAATTTCAGGGAACCCAAGAATCTCAAGAATCTGAGGAATCTCGAGAATCTCAAGAATCTCAAGAATCTCAAGAACCTCAAGAATCTCTCGATAATCTCAGGAATCTCAAGGATCTCAAGAATCTCGAGAATCTCAAGAATCTCAAGAATCTCAAGAATCTCAAGAATCTCAAGAATCTCAAGAATCTCAAGAATCTCAAGAATCTCAAGAATCTCAAGAATCTCAAGAATCTCAAGAATCGCGCGAATTTCAAGAATCAAGATTTTCAAGAATCTCAAGAACCAAAACAATCAAGAATCACAAGAATCTCAAGATGTTCAAGAACCCCAAGAACCTCAAGATTTTCAAGAATCTACAGAAATCTCAAGACAATAATTTCAAGAATCTCGAGAATCTCAAGATTTTCAACAACCCGAAGAACCTCAAGAATCTCAAGAATCTTAAGAATCTCTAAAATCTCAAGAACCCCAAAAACTTCAAGAATTTCAAAAATCTCAAGAAATCTCAAGTCTCAAGAATCTCGAGAGTTTCAAGAACCTCAAGATCTTAAATAGGCTTGAGCCTGTAACAAAGGTGGAAGGACCTTAACAATTCACAAAAAAATTCAGAAAGCTGAATCGTAAATGTTCTCTCAAGGCTCTAAAATGTCTTCAAGAACCTAGCAGAGCCTTGAATAGTCTTTTTCGGAGAAACGAGAGATAGACAGTGTGGTCATACGGTGGTGTTATTCTCTATTGGTAGTTGGGAGATCCGCCACCGGATTGGTGGAAGCTAAAGTGGTGAATTGATCTTGCTGAACCCAATTGTGGCAACATTATTGTAATAGTGAAATCTACTAATTCGGTTAAACCAATCAGCTCAATGACAAATCGGAAAAAACGTGGCCACACTGCCTTTATAGAGTCACTGTAGTTTTCGTGCTCTTTCCTTGATCTGTTTTTCCGTGTGCACAGAGCCCGTACAACACAGCCGCCTAGAGACGTGCCTCTGAACACACCCGCTCAGAACGTGGTCTTGCCCCCACGGAAATTATGGTTGATGGTTCCTTTACAACAATTACAGGCGAAGTCTAAAGTAAGAAGCTTTGTGAATCCTCGAGCACCAGTGCACCAATGCAATTAATTCGAACGTACTCCACCAATAAATGGGATTCGGATTGCGATATAGATAAAAACAAAGCCATGTAATGCAAGTAACACATATGGCACATCCTAAAAAGAAACGTTTTAACGAAGAGGTGTAAGTTTAGCTAAAAAGGATTACAGCCCAGCCCATTCGCGTAAAGACGCTTACATAAATAATTTAAACAATTGTAGCATTATGACTGTAAATTTTCCACTTCAGGAATAAACATGTTTTGCAAAGATCGTCATTTCAACGACAAAAGTAAAAGTTTCACAATACAGGGGAAAGGAATTTTCATGTTGAAAGAAAAATGCAACCCTTAAGCATTTATTTTTGACATAAACTGAAAAAGAAAGACAAAGCTTCACATCTCCACCTTCTCCATGTTCTCAATCTGAAAGCCACGCCCAGGCAAATGCTCATACATCTAAAAGACAATTGTTTGATGTTCAAATTACACAATGGCCAATCGTTACCTGATCCAGATATCTTTGGTTATCCCCAGTAGAGTGCCTGACCAGAACGCGTGCGACTCGGTGATGATTGTAGCTTTGCTCACATGTTACTATCAAGGCGACGTTATCGTAATCGGTGGCAACAACCGCAAATTTCAATTCGTTGACTTGTTCGGCTGAAAATTCACCGTGACTGTGAGATCGACCCGACTACGTGACTTACGAATGTAGGCGTTAATCTCTCGTTCCTCTTGCACGATCGTGTACTCGTGAGTGAACGGTTTGCTCTTTCCAAGTAAGTGGACGAGACGGTACTCTCCCGGTTTTCCGGTAATGGTAACCGTCTGCCCTTCGATGGGCTTAGCCGACCCCCTGTTTCCCAAGGGCGTGGTAGTGCTAACAGCCGCCACGTGCCACCCGCCCTCCATCTGGAAAGAGTGTCAGATCGGTCGGTGTGAATTATTCTCACCTTCGTCATGTCCAAACCGGCGAGGGACTCGTCGTGGGGACATTTTGACGGTTCTGGACGTGGCGGTTCCACATATGGAGGGCTCGTTGCGTAAGTGACGGCAAGAGACATCAACAATACGTGGGCGATCATTTTTGGTAACTAAGCGATTTGTGTGAAATGAAAGGTACTTAATACTGAGAGGTTATCAGCACAATCCCGATATAGGGGTCACGATTCAAATTCCAATTTTTCGTTTGAGATAACAAACGAAGCTTACAATCGAGTGGTGGAAGGGAGAAAAAATATTTCTGGCACAGTTGTATCATGACGATGGCTATAAATGACGATATGAAATCTTAAAAAACATCTCCAGGTCTCTGGCTCCTCCACCATCCAGTGTACTTCAATGTTTCCGCTCCCTGAACATTTTGGGACTTGGTTCCCAAAAAATCCGAAACCCTCGAAGAATCTTCTAATGAAACTCTTGAGAAACTCCTGGTAGGGTCTCTAGAAGAAATTTATGAAAGAATCTTACAGGGAATCACTTTTCAGGAACATATTGGGAGATGTTGTGTAGGACTCTAGTGAATCCCGTGATAAGTTTCTTGAAAAACTCCGAGGACTCTGTTGGAGAGTCTCTAGATTAATCTCTAAAGAAATCTCTTGAGCAGTAGTGTAAAGCGTCCCATCCAAGGATTTTTTTCAGGATTTTATGGGGGCTGTTTTTGAAATCCCACACATTTTTTAGGAGATCCCTAGTAGACTCCATCACTCAATACCTTCAGCACTTCTTAATGATAAAACTTTTTTACGAAATCTCAAGAATCCTAAGAATCTCAAGAACCTCAAGAATCTCAAGGATCTCAAGAATCTCGAGAATCTTAGGAATCTCGAGAGTCTAAAGAATCTCATGAAACTCAGGTCTTAAGACTCTCAAGAGTCTAAAGAATTTCAAGAATTCGAGAATCTCAAGAATCTCGAGGATCTCAAGAATCTCGAGGATCTCGAGAATCTCAAGAATCTCAGGAAACCCAAGAATCTCAGGAATCTCAGGAATCTCAAGCATCTCAAGAATATCAAGAATCTCAAGAATCCCAAGAATATCAAGAATCTCAGGAAACGCAAGAATCTCTAGAACCTTAAGAATCTCGAGAATCTCAGGAATCTCGAGTATCTCAAGAACTTCAAGAACCTCAAAATCTCAAAAATCTTAGAAATCCCAGGAAACTCGAGAATCTCAAGAATCTCAACAATCTCAAGAATCTCAAAAATCTCAAAAATCTCAAGAATCTTAAGAATGTCAGGACACCCAAGAATCTCAAAAATTTCAAAAATCTCAAGAATCTCAAGAATTTTAAGAATCTCAGGAAACCCAAAAATCTCAAGAATCTCAGGAATCTCAAGAATCTCAAGAATCTCAATAATCTCAAGAATCTCAAGAATCTCAAGAATTTCAAGAATCTCAAAAAACTCAAGAATCTTAAGAATCTCAGGAAACCCAAGAATCTCAAGAATTTCAAGAATCTCAAGAATCTCAGGAAACCCAAGAATCTCAAGAATCTGAAAAATCTCGAGAATCTCAAGAATCTCAGGAAACTCAAGAATCTCAAAAATCTCTTTTCAGGAACATATTGGGAGATGTTGTGTAGGACTCTAGTGAATCCCGTGATAAGTTTCTTGAAAAACTCCGAGGACTCTGTTGGAGAGTCTCTAGATTAATCTCTAAAGAAATCTCTTGAGCAGTAGTGTTAAGCGTCCCATCCAAGGATTTTTTTCAGGATTTTATGGGGACTGTTTTTGAAATCCCACACATTTTTTAGGAGATCCCTAGTAGACTCCTCACTCAATACCTTCAGCACTTCTTAATGATAAAACTTTTTTACGAAATTTCTTTACGGAGCCTTTTGTGGGACTCTCCATAAGGAACAGTGCGACGGATACTGTTACGCACCCTCTAAACTACACTTAATGGTCTTATTCGAAAAATTGTTGCCAAGAGATATCGAAAAAATCCTCTGGGCGGTTTTAAAGACCTTTTTAATAGATCTTTGAGGAGGGCGAAGAGCGATTCTTCAAAAAAATGTTCAAAGGCCGCTTCAAGTTGACCTGTGAAGATATTGATATACGACGCCCCTTTAAATACATTGGTTTTTTGTGTTCCAAAGTGATATGAATTAATTTTGACTCAACTTCTCTTCTTTTCCTCAAATATTTGACCAAATCTCCCTCGTCAGTTTACTTTCGCCCTTGCTCTCGCCCGCTCGCTTACGGCCACGCCCTCGCTCTCGGCTCGCCCCCTATACGTCTTTCCTTCAGCCTCTTGTACTCTGATTCCATCCCTCGCTTTCACTCTGGAGGCCTCTTCTTCGTCATTACTCTCTCGTTCGCGTTCTTTTATGCTGCTCTCTCGCACTCTTCTCCCCCGCGCCCACTCGCCCTCGTCCTTTCGCTACCACGCCCTCCCTCGTTTGCCCTCGCTTCCACCCGCTCCCTATTGCCCTTGCATTCACCCCTTTTCAAAATATCTTTGGACGACTCCCCATAGCCCTTTAAGGATTGTATAGGACCTCACCAAAATCTTCCTTTTCCGTTGCCACCTTCGGTAATATCTTAATTTCGGGGAGATTGCGGGAAGATTCAGATCAGATCAGTGCTTTCTCAACGGGGCTGAAAACTCTCTAGGAAGATTATGGGAAATGATGAGCCAAGCAGATTTCGACTCGGGAGGAACAGATTCTTAAAAACTGTACGGGAAAACCACTTGAAGGATTTTTAAGGATCATTCGAAGAGTCTCCTAAAGGATCTGCCAAATTCGTCTTCGATTTGTCGATGAACGTCAGTAAAAATGAGATACAGAGAGAACGGATTTTCATTTCGAAAGAAATGTTCCAACTAGAGCGTCTAGTAACTGAAAAAAACTCACAAGTGACTTGGAAGGGTTTTAAAAAAATAGAAAAGAGGAAAAGGAAACCCAAAGAATCCTTTGGAACTTGTTACTAAACATTTGTGAACATCTCTTGAGGATCTCTTAAGGGGAAGGAGATCTCGGGTTCCTAGTAGGATTCTTTGACAAAGCTACTATATATGTCAAACATTTCTTTAAAAAACGTAACGGAAAACTTTCAACTGGTTTTCTGGAGCAGTGGTAGCGAAAGGACAAGGGTGAGGGGGCGTTGGGGAAAAGAGTGCGAGAGCGCAGCGTAAAAGAATGCGAACAAGAGGACGAAGACGAGACCGCACGCGAGCGGGCGAGAGACGAGGACGTAAGTGAACTGATGATGGAGGTGTGTCCCAATGTTTGAGGAAAAGAAGAGAAGTTGGGTCAACGTTAGTTCATATTGGAAAACAAAAACCAAAGCCTTTAAAAGGGCGTCGCATATCAATAACTATCATATACCTTCATAGGTCAACTTGAAGAGGCCTTTGAAAATTTTTTTGAAGAATTGCTCTACGTGCCTTCTCAAAGATCTATTGAAAAGATTTTTAAAACCGCTCAGAGAATTTTTTCGGTGTCTCTTGACAAACATTTTCTGAATGAGATCATGAAGTGTAGTTTAGAGGGTGTGGCACAGTATCCGTCGAACTGTCCCTTTGGAGAGTTCCACAGAAGGCTCCGTAAAGGAAGTTTGTAAAGAAGTGTTGTCATTAAGAAGTGTTGACGGTCTTGAGACGGTCTTGAGAGAATCTACTAGGAATCTCCTAAAAAATTTGTGGAGTTTCAAAAACAACACCCATTAATCCTGAAAACATTCTTGAGTGGGACTCTTTACACTATTGCTCAAGATATTTCTTTAGGGATTACTCTAGAGACTCTCCAACAGAGTCCTCGGGGTTTAACAAGCCATTTATCACAGGATACTTTAATTCACTAAAGTCCTACGAAACATCTTCCAGTATGTTCCTGAAAAGTGATTCATCCTTGTAAAATTCTTTCAAAAAATTTCTCAAGAGCTACATTAGAAGATTTTAGGATTTCTTGGGAACCAAGTTCCAAAAGGGTTCAGGGAGCGGAAACGTTGAAGTACAATGGAAGGAGGAGGAGCCAGAGACCAGGAGGAGTTTTTTTAAGATTTCATATCGTCATTCATTGCCATGGTCATGATACAACTGTGATTTATAGCACCATGTGTCAGAAATATTTTTTCTCCCTTCCTCCACTCGATTGTAAGCTTCGTTTGTTATCTCAAACGAAAAATTGGAATTTGAAGCATGGCCCCCATATCGGGTTTGGCTGATAACCTCTTAGTATCACGCACTTTCTATTTCACACAAATCGCTTAGTTACCAAAAATGATCGCCCACGTATTGTTGATTTCTCTTGCCGTGACTTACGCGACGAGCCCTCCACATGTAGACCCTCCACGTCCGGAACCGTCAAAATGTCCCCACGACGAGTCCCTCGCCGGTTTGGACATGACAAAGGTGAGAATAATTAACGCCGACCGATCTAACACTCTTTCCAGATGGAGGGCAAATGGCACGTGGCGGCTGTTACCACTACCATTCCCTTGGAAATCAGGGGGCAGGCTAAGCCTATCGAAGGGCAGACGGTTACCATTACCGGAAAACCGGGAGAGTACCGTCTCGTCCACTCACTTGGGAAGAGCAAACCGTTCACGCACGAGTACACGATCGTGCAAGAGGAACGAGAGATTAACGCCTACATTGGTAAGTCACGTAGTCGGGTCGATCTCACAGTCACGGTGAATTTTCAGCCGAACAAGTCAACGAATTGAAATTTGCGGTTGTTGCCACCGATTACGATAACGTCGCCTTGATAGTAACATGCGAGCAAAGCTACACGCATCACCGAGTCGCACGCGTTCTGGTCAGGCACTCTGCTGGAGATCACCAAAGACATCTGGATCAGGTAACGAGTTGCCATTGTGTAATTTGAAGACCAAACAGTTGTTTTTTAGATGTATGAACATTTGCCTGCGCGTGGCATTAAGATTGAAGACATGGAGAAGGTGGAGATGTGAAGCATTGTCCTTCTTTTTCAGTGTATGTCAAAAATAAATGTTTAAGGGTTGAACTTTTTCTCAACATGAAAATTCGTTTTACCTGTACCTCATTTTTAATAAAGACCATTGACAAAGTGAAGACGATTTCAGCAGAAGAATCTTCGAACGATTCTTGACAAGATTCTTCATAAGCTCTTTCAAATATGCTTTTTTGGTGTTCCAACAATACACCCTAGAGAGTCCTTGATTCCCAGATTCCTGTTATGATCCTTCAAAAGCTACGGTTCTATAAAAGATCCTTCAAATGAGAAATGGAACAGAAATATGAAGATCTGCGTCGGAAATTGCTGCTGTCGACCATAGCAACATGCAATCTGAAAAATTAGCTGAGGAACTTCTAGGGGGGCTTCATAGACATACCCTGAAGAATCTTCTTTTGGAATTTTCAGAGATGTTTTTGGTTATCCCATAAAGGATCTTTAACAGCATCACAGGTAATCTCTCTCAAAACTTCCTTGAAGGTTTTTTTGGGTGTGTTGATTCCCCGAAAAAAAGGTGTCTTGAAAATCTTATGGAAGATATAAAAAGAAACGGTCTAAGAGCATCTTTTGAGAAACCTCCGTAAGGAGTTACTCAAAGTATTTCTTGAAGATTAGTAATTAAATGCTGACAGTAGTAAATTACTTATGATCTTACAAGACACTATTAACGTTTCATGTCATTTTGGGATATTCTTTTAGAGATTCTAGACGGAATTCTTCGGAAGAATCGAGATGCTCCAGCAGATTCTTTTCACAGCTTAAAAAAGTATCCAAAATTGACAGATTGAGGAATCATTTAAAAAGAGTACCAGATGAATTTCTTAAAAAATCCTTCAAGCGACTCCGTAAAGGATTTTTGTAAGAATCTCTAAAGGATTTAGTGAATTCCTCATAGACCTTTAAACAGTTGTCTTTTTTTTTTAAATCGCATAATCTCGGGAAGAGCGAACCGCTTCATAGCGAACGTGAACGAAAATATGTCTGGAAATAAAAAAAGGTAACAACGCCTGCATTTTAGACATAAAACGTTGGTTAAATCGGATTGTAAGGGGTTTTGGGCAGTCGAGGTTAGACTTTCAAGGAACTAGCACATATTATTTGTGTGTAAAAGAAATTTATTCTTCCATAATGCGATCATTTCGCAGTTCATATCGCATAGCGACATACCATCGTAGGTGCGCTAATACTCTCGTGTAGAAGTTTGTCAATTTCGAGCGGAAAAGTTAGAATGAAGTGGGTGCTTCTATCTACAGTTCTTTAAAAGGGACTGAAAACTCCCGAGGAAGATTATGGGAAATGATGAGTCAAGCAGATTTCGACTCGGGAGAAACAGATTCTTAAAAACTGTACGGAAAAACCACTTGAAGGGTTTTTAAGGATCATTCGAAGAGTCTCCTAAAGGATCTGCCAAATTCGTCTTAGATTTGTCGATGAACTTCAGTAAAAATGAGATACAGGGAAAACGGATTTCAATTTCGAAAGAAAAGTTCCAACTAGAGTGTCTGGTAACTGGAAAAACTCGCAAGTAACTTGGAAGTGTTCTACAAAAATAGAAAAGATGGAAAAGAAACCCAAAAAATCTTTTGGAAATTGTTATTACAAATTTGTAATTTCTTGAGGATCTCTTACGGGAAAGGTGATCTAGTAGGACTCTTTGGCAAAGCTACTAAACATATCAAACATTTCTTTAAAAAACGTAACGAGGAACTTTCAACTTGTTTTCTAAGGAAACTTTTGAAGAATTCCATAAAAATCATCATCTTTACGGAACGGCTAAAAGGGTTTCTTGAAGCTGATTAACGAAACAATAAATCGTGCGGTAGATTACTTATCAGATTACCCAATAGATCTCTTGGGAGATACTTTTTTTAACGTTTTAGATCTTTTTTGAAATTCCTTGAAACGTTAATGAGTAAGAGACGCGTTTTGAGTGATCTTGCAGTAAACTTCTACGAGAGATGCAACAGGTCTACAGGCAATTGTGAGACGTCTCAATCAAAATTCGGAGAATCTTAAAAAATCTTCCTTTGTGGGCTCTGTAAGACGTTCTTCTCAACTAGTAATTTTTAGGGGGTATGTTTTCACATAAAAGATCCCTAACACATCTGCAAGGGGTTCTTCAGAGACTCAGGTTTTGGTAAAGAAAATTTTAAATTAGTTCTTCCAGGGGATTTCAAGTTCTTTAAGGGACTCTCAAAGTCATCCTTCCGAAGGTCTAAGATATCGTGCAAGAGTCTCTCCAACAAACAGAATATTCGTTGTTTAAGAAGTTACGAAAGTAGTGTTATTAAAGGCTTCTCAGCTGTGAACTTGATTGAGAAACATTTTTAAAAGGTTTACCTTGAAAAATATTACAACTCCCCAGTAAAGGTGCTTGTTTAATTTTCTCTGCAGGCCCTTTACAGTTTCTGTAGGCAATCTTTTAACAAAACCGTGCTTTTGAAAAATCCATTAAGGAATCTTTCCAGAAAATGAAAGTGCAAAAAAACCCTGTAAGGAGCTATGTCAAGAAGTTCAAGAGATCCTAGTTACTCAAGAGAATTTTTGGGAGGTTTTTTCAGAGACATTTTAGAGACCAAAGGATCGTTTAAGAAATTATCCAAAAATCACACGTTGTTATCGCTTTTATTTGCGAACATACTTTCGTTCACATGCGCTATGAAGCGGCGTATGTATAAATTTTCCTATTTTGAACAAAATTTAGATTTAAGCCCCTCAAGAAGTTGCTCTGGTCCAATTGGTCGTTACTAAAAATAAGGTACAGGGAAAACGAATTTTCATGTTGAGTGAAAGGCATTTATTTTTCACATAAATTGAAAAGGAAAGGCAAAGCTTCACATCTCCACCTTCTCCATGTTCTCAATCTGAAAGCCACGCCCAGGCAAATGCTCATACATCTAAAAAAAACAACTGCTTGGTGTTCAAATTACAGAATGGCCACTCATTACCTGATCCAGATACCTTTGGTTATCTCTGGCAGAGTGCCTGACCAGAACGCGTGCGACTCGGTTATCTGTAAAGTGTTGCTCGCATGTTACTATCAAGGCGACGTTATCGTAATCGGTGGCAACAACGGCAAATTTCAATTCGTTGACTCGTTCGGCTGAAAAAAGTCGGTGAGAAGTCAATCCAACCCGTGTACGTGACTTACGAGTGTAGGCGTTAATCTCTCGTTCCTCTTGCACGATCGTGTACTCGTGCGTGAACGGTTGCCTCTTCCCAACTGAGTGGATGAGACGGTTTTCTCCCGGCCTTCCGGTAATGGTAACCGTCTGCCCTTGGATAGGCTTAACCAACCCCCTGTCTCCTAAGGGAATGGTAGTGCTAGCCGCCGCAACGTGCCATCTGCCCTTCATCTGGAAAGGGCGTTAGATAGGTCGGTGTGCATTATTCTCACCTTTGTCATGTCCAAGCCGGGGAAGGACTCGTCGTGGGGACATTTTGACGGTTCTGGACGAGGGGGCTGTGGAGGGCTCGTCGCGTAAGTCACGGCAAGAGAAATCAACAATACGTGGGCGATCATTTTTGGTAACTAAGCGATTTGTATGGAGTGGAACGTGATTTTTGATACCGAGAGGTTATCAACACAATTCCGATAGAGTGGTCACGCTTCACATTTCAATTTTTAGTTTGAGATAAAAGACGCAGTACTTAATTGAGCCAGGAGAGTGAGGAAAGATATTTTTGGGCTAATGACAGCGTGCGAGTTTATGAATCACAGTTGTATCATAACAATGACAATATCAAATCTTTTAAAAATCCCTTCTTCCTCTGGCCCTTTCACCATCCATTGTATTCGAACGTTTCCACTCCATTACTTTTGGATTTGATCCACAAGAAATCCCATAAAAAATTATATTAACAAGTAGTTTAAAGGACATCTGTAAAGGTTCTTGATTGACCTGTTAAATAATCGAGTAAAGCATTGCATCAAAGATTTTTTAGGACTCCTGAGGCTCATTTGGGGGTATATTTTGAAAAACCTATGCCATAATGTAGGGAATTCCCTGAAGGGTCTTAAAATCTGTTTGATATCTTCTTGAAATCTTCTTGAAATGTTCTCGAAATCTTCTCGAAATTGTCTCGAAATCTTCCCGAAATCTTCTTGAAATCTTATCGAAATCTTCTTGAAAACTTTTCGAACTCTTTTGAAGTTTTTAGGAGCTGTTTGTGACCTTTAAAAGCTCAAAAAAGCCTCTACATTCGCTTCAAGATCTTTAAAGACTACAAAAGGGACAAAGGCTCTTGCAGATTCTAATGTTGGTCACCTACTGGCCCTCAAAAATACGTTTGAAGCATTACGGGCTGCTAAAGGGTTGTGGAGACCATTAGAAACCCTTGTAGGAACTAGTCACATGAAGTTGTTTTAAAAACGTTTAAAGGCTCCTAAAAGTTCTTGGGGGTTGATAAAGACTTTTAAGTGACTTAAAGGCTCCAATTTTTAATCAACGATTTCCAGTTTACAGTTCCCAGTCTACACTTCCCAGTCTGCAGTTTTAAAGAAAATTAAAAAGAAATGGGTTTCTTGAAGTATCTTCCAAAGACATTTTGAAAAATTGTCTGGAAATTATCGTGGTGAAAGTTCACTTGAGAATTTTTTTGGAAGTTCTTTAAAGTATCTCTTAAAAATGTGCTATAGAGCTTTTTAAGGAGTTTCTTAGACAGTGTAGGGGAAAACCACTCGAAGAATTTGAAGTGGACACTTGAACATTCTCTAAAGCAGTCTCTCAGGAATCTCTCGAATTCAGAAACTTCCCAAGAAATCTTTTGATCCCCTTCGCTTGAAATTACAGACTTGGGGGAGCGGAAGGGGGCAAAGAAAAAACAATAATTTCAATTGCGTACAACCGCAAATGATACGAGTTCACAAACATGTCAGAATGAGGTCATCCGATTGATAAATTGATGATATCTCGTTTGTTTGGAGCAGTTTGGAATACAAAACCAACGTGCTCGTTCGGCGTGTCACTGTCATTACATTAAATTGACGTTACCGGTTGGAATTCGTTACTAAGTCTGTGCGGCGTTAAATCAATAAACTGCGTCGTCCTGTTTTGGGTCGAGAATCGAGATTAGTGGGCGAATGGGCTCCGGACAGATTTATTGCATACAGTAAGTCGTTGCTTATTACAATGCATATTTTGTATTTCAATGTACAAATTGCCACCGGCATTCGGGAAGCAATTAATGTCAAACAAAAATTTTAGAAATAAAGCAAAAAGGATGATAAGTATGACATGTAACACTCCTTTCTTCTTCCATTCCACTCAGATCCTTTTTTGAAGTCTATTATGAATCGGTTCTGGTTTGTAGACAACTAGAAAAACCTTTGTCTTGTAGATCAATTCCAAAAATCTCAGCCCAACGATTTTTTGGGTGATCTTTGGAATATTCTCTTGGAAATCAATGATTCTTCATAGAAGCTTTTAAAGGAACCTTTCATTAAACGAATTCTTTAAGATATCTTTCAAGGAACTGCTCTTCTTCAAACCTTCTTCAAATCTTCTTCAAATATTCTTCAAATATTTTTCAAATCTCAAAATCTGTTTCAAATCTTCCTGAAATCTTTTTGAAATCTTCTTGAAATTTTCTTGAAATCTTGAATTCTCCTTGAAATCCTGAAATCTTCTCGAAATCTTCTTCCAATCTTCTTGAAGTCTTAAAATTTTAAAATTTTAAATCTGAAGTTTCTTTAAGAGCAAGCACAGAATTGGTTTATTTCATTTGAATTTGTGTTCTTGTATTTTCCTTTTAAATTTGTTTGTAGTTGCGTATTGTTTATTTGGGTTTGTATATTTAATTGTAAAACGTGAATTAAGTTTAGTTTAAGTTTAGGCACATCTGGTCTTGAAATCTTGAAATCTTCTTGAAATCTTCTTGAAATATTCTTTCAAATCTTCTTCAAATCTTTTATAAATCTTCTTCAAATCTTCTTCAAATTTTCTTCAAGTCTTCTTCAAATCCTCTTCAAAACTTCTACAAATCTTCTTCCAATCTTCTTTTAAATTTTCTTCAAATCTTCTTCCAATCATATTTTAAATCTTTTTCCAATCATACTTTGACTCTTTTCAAATCTTCTTCCAATCATATTTTAGATCTTGTTCAAATCTTCTTCAAATTTTCTTCAAGTCTTCTTCAAATCCTCTTCAAAACTTCTACAAATCTTCTTCCAATCTTCTTTTAAATCTTCTTCAAATCTTCTTCAAATCTTCTTCAAATCTTCTTGCAACCATATTTCAAATCTTCATCCAATCATATATATTTTAAATCTTCTTCCAATCATATTTTAAATCTTCTTGAAATCTTCTTGGCATCTTGAAATCCTATTGGAATTACTTTCTTGAAATCTTCCTGAAATCTTCTTTCAATCTTCTTCGAATCTGCTTCAAATCTTATTCAAATCATCTTGAAATCCTCTTAAAATCGTTCTAAAATTTTCCTAAAATCTTGAAATCTTATTCAAATGTTTTTGAAATTATCTTGACATCTTGAAATCCTATTGGAATTACCTTCTTGAAATTTTCCTGAAATCTTCTTGAAACCTTCTTTCAATCTTCTTCAAATCTGCTTCAAACCTTATTCAAATCTTCTTCAAATCCTTTTCAAATCTTTCAAATCTCCTTCAAATCTTTTTCAAATCTACTCCAAATCTTCTTCAAATCTACTCAAACCTTCTTCAAACCATCTTCAAATCTTCTTCAAATCTTCTTCAAATCCTCTTCAAATCTTCTTCAAATCATCTTGAAATCTTAAAATCGTTCTAAAATTTTCCTAAAATCATGAAATGTGTTTGAAATGTTCTTAAAATCTTCTTGGCATCTTGAAATCCTATTGGAATTACTTTCTTAAAATTTTCTTGAAATCGTCTTTCAATCTTCTTCAAATCTGCTCCAAATCTTATTCAAACCTTCTTCAAATCCTTTTCAAATCTTTCAAATGTCCTTCAAATCTTTTTCAATCTGCTTCAAATCTTCTTGACATCTTGAAATTCTATTGGAATTACCTTCTTGAAATTTTCTTAAAATCTTCTTGAAATCTTCTTTCGATCTTCTTCAAATCTGCTTCCAATCTTATACAAATCGTCTTCAGATCTTTTTCAAATCTTCTTCAAATCTCCTTCAAACCTTTTCAAATCTACTTCAAATCTTCTTCAAATCTACTTCAAATCTTCTTCAAATCTTCTTCCAATCTACTTCAAATCTTCTTCAAATCTACTTCAAATCTTTTTCAAATCTTCTTCAAATCTTCTTCCAATCTTCTTCAAATCTTCTTCGAGTCTTCCTCAAATCCTCTTCAAAACCTCTACAAATCTTCTTCCAATCCTCTTTAAAATCTTCTTCAAATCTTAGTTACATTTTCTTCAAATCTTGTTCCAATCTTTTTTTAAATCTTCAAATCTTCTTCAACTCTCCTTCAAGTCTTCTTCAAATTTTCTTGAAATCACCTTGAAATCTTCTTAAAATCCCTCTAAAATTCTCCTAAAATCTTGAAATTTTATTGAAATGTTTCTTGAAATCTTCTTGACATCTTGAAATCCTATTGCAATTACCTGCTTGAAATTTTCTTACAATTTTCTTGAATTCTCCTTGAAATCTGCTCGAAATCTGCTTCTAGTAATCTTCTTCCAATCTTGAAATCTTCTTAAAATTTCCTTGAAATTTTCCCAAAGCTTGGAAAGTGTTTTTCTAGGACTTCACCCACGGTATACCTATATTTGCCGCATGGGAGCCTCTTTTTTGCCCCGGGTCTTTTAAAAGGATTTTACGAAAGGAGGAGACCCTCATGTTACCACAGAAGGTCCTCCATGATCCTCATTTAGACCTTCGAATAGGGTTCTTATACTTGCGCCGAGCGGTCTTATGACCTTCCCAGTCCGCATGCAACTTAGTTAAAGACCCTGCGAACATCCTTACGAACTCTTTCGGCCTGAGACCTCTTACTCGTTCCTTGTATGCCCATGGTTTTTGTATGAGGCGTCTTGGAGACGTTATTTCGCTTTAAGCACCTAAAATGGTGAGGGACACCCTGTGTATGAGACGTATATCAATTTAGTATATTAAATCTCAGTTTTTTTACGAATAAGCACAGAATCGGTACTCTTTTAGCTATTTTTCCTTTTAGAATGGTTTGTAATTGCGTATAACGTGAAATAACATGTTTAAGTGTAGGCACATCTGGCCATTTTCGATAAGAGTTTTTGTTATCGGACGTGATTTAATTAACGCACGCGTTTTTTGGTGCGGCTTTCTGTCAAGGATCCCTTATTGCCAAAGTTAAAGTGTGTACCGTATGAATAGCCACCGGCAAATCGTCATATCATTCATTGAGAAAATTTCCCCATATACCGCTTCATAGTGAACGTGTATAAAAGTATGTTCGGCGATAACAAGCATCTCTTTGGAACTAAAAGTTGTGTTCAGTTGGGGTCATTGCGTTCATAAAGGAAGGCTCGTTTCGATTTTTGTAGCGGGCGAGAGAAGTGAGAAAGCGATGATTTTAAGCTAATTTTCGAGAACGAACACGTACCAATTTGGGTACGCAAATCATTATCATTATTGGTTTATCTCAAGTGAAAAACGGAAGATTTTCGTTTAACTTCATCTAGTAGGATCTGCAGGTTCTGGACGTTGTAGATATACTTCTGGTTCGCGGGGTTTGTAAAAGTTTTGAAAGATTTGGAGCTTTTCTGAAGTTTCTGTATACCTTTACATTCCTAAACTTTTGAATATGCCGAAGTTTTTGAGTGTTCTGAAGATCCTGAAGCCACTGGGTCTTCAGCTACTTTGTCTTCCTCAATTTTATCAATATCCTGTTGTACCTTTGGCGCCACTATATTCAAACTTAGATGGCAGCGTAAATTAAATTTAATCTCGTTACACGAGTAGACTTAATGAGCACTCAAACGTTTAGATAGGAAATCAGATCAGTGATAAGTTACTAAACTCTCATCATTGTTCCTACAACTATGTCGATTATCGGCCGCAATAATCCGAGCGTGATAATTATCGGTGCGGGCGCCGCGGGTATCGCCGCCGCTTCCAGACTGTACGCCAACGGTTTTGAGGATATAACCATTTTGGAGGCGGGGAGTAGGATCGGCGGTCGTATTCACAGCGTGCCCTTCGAAGGGTCGTACATTGATCTCGGCGCGCAGTGGTGTCACGGCGAGAAGAAGAACGTGGTTTACGAATTGGTCAATGGTTTAGGTATATTGAAGGAGGAGGATCTGAGCCCGAAGTTGTACCACTCAAGCTCCAAGGTGATCGAGGAGGCATTCCAGCGGAGGTTTTTGGCTGTGGCTGACGATTTGGATGGGGCCGAGTCTTTAGCGCAGAGGATCGTTGAAAGGTGATTTCCCAACAGCGGTGCTGCAGTGGAGACGTGTTAATTGTTTTGTTTAAGATTCCAACGGGAGGTTTGGGAGGATGAGGAGTTGGTGGGGGAGTGTTTGGAGTGGTTGCGAAAGAGCGCGCTTTCGTACGACGGTGCGTTTTCGTGGTTGAACGTTTCCGGATGCGAAGATTTTGAGGAGTGCGAAGGGGAGGGACACCTTAGCTGGAATGGACTCGGGTACAAGACAATTTTAAAAGTACTCATGTCAAAATTCCCAGATGCGTTGGAGTCGAAACTGCTGCTCGGTAAGGAGGTGTACCAGATCACTTGGGGGGACCAAGTCGTAGTGAGCTGTCTCGATGGAACCACTTACTCTGCCGACCACGTCATCGTAACCCCATCTCTTGGCGTGCTAAAGAAATGTCACAAAACCTTGTTTCACCCCGAACTCCCCCTCGAAAAGGTCATCGCGATCGAGACGCTGGGTTTCGATGCTGTTGGCAAAATCTTCCTTCACTTCCCAAATAAGTGGTGGGACCAGAACTTTACCAACATTAACTTTGTCTGGAGCGAAAGTGATTTGAAAAAGAGCGCCGAGGAATTTCCCTGTGAAAATTTCTCTGTAACTCAGTTTCAGAAGGGACGTTCTTGGGTTACGGGAATTTTCGCGATTCACACAGTGCTAGGCAGCCCAAACCTGCTCCTGGCATGGGCCAGTGGCGAATTTGTACCAGAAATTGAGACACGTACCGACCAGGAGATCATCAGCGGTATTGAGTACATCCTACACAAGTTCCTAGGGAAAAGACACTCGCCGGACGCGATTATTCGGTAAGTCACCGTCGGCAAGTGAGCGGTCAACCAGTTGGTATTTCTAGGGAAAAATGGTACTCACATCCTCACTTTTACGGGACGTATTCATTCCAAACGGTACAATCTCAAAAGCTGGGGCGGTCTCAGGCGAGCGTCCTAAGACAACCGCTCTTGAGCGCTGGCGGAAAACCCAGGGTTCTGTTCGCCGGTGAAGCGACTCACGCTAAATACTACTCGACCGTTCACGGTGCCATCGAAACAGGTCATCGAGAAGCTGATCGCCTGATAGATTTTTGTAAATGAAACGAAGTTGGGTTCAATTGGAAATAAACTTTTGCGCTCCTAATACATCAAAATTCTCGAAAATACTGCAATATACACCGCCCTTCTTTTTCAATTTCCTTTCCACCAATCAGGGTTCTAAGGTCTCATGTCAATCAGGCTCGAAGGATCCAATGTAGCTTTTACTTGGACCGGAACCCTTGTGTTAACGCGGCACCGATTCGTTTAACGCGCCAAAGCACCAATTGTAGCATGAGAGCTGTCTTAATGTACACTATACGGATCAAAGGACCACATGTAGTGTTAGGGCAAGCTTACACAAAGTAAAGTGGAAGGAGAATAAAACATCTTGGTCCACCAGCAGGAAAGGATATCTGCAATCGTCCTCGGTACGCCCCTGCAAAGTAAAAGCGAAATTAGTTTTACCAAATTTCACACGTTCCGAAATAGGTGTAGGGCCATCCGGTTGCGGGAAAATAATCTAGGTCATGGCGCCCGAGGATTTTGAATGTACCTATGCCGAGTCACGTGGGAGGACCAGTTTAGATGGGTGGTGGAGGAACGTTTCTCCATGGTGTTGTGGTGGATTATCTTTGGTGGTCGGTGAAGAAATTCTAGAGAAATTCAGACGAACTTCTATGTTCAGGCTACATATTTTCAAGGAAAAGCTGATTAAGTTGTTTTGAGCTTTCGAAAAAACTTTCTAGGGTGAAACAGAGGACACTCAAGTAGAAGAAGACGAAACACAGGAAGATGACAAAGAGAAAGGAGTATTAAGAACATTTAGAAGGTTTTATGGAATCGAGAAATGCATAGAATAAAGACAGACAAAGTAAAAAAAGATATAGAGGGCGCTGGAGGCGATACAAGGAAGCAATTGAGAATGACAAAAAATCAGAAACTGAGAACGCATAGGCGGTGCAGGAAATTTCTCACCATATCCTGAAATTATTTACGTAACTTGCGAGGGAGTCGTCTCAATGACCTACTGACTTAATGGTCAAGTTCCTGTTTTGAGGTTAAATGTTGTTTATCTCCACCGGCAGGTTCGCGTCGCCTGGTACGCCCTTGCTTTGTCAAAGCGAAATTACTGTCACCAAATATCACAATTTCCGAGATAGGTGTAGGGCCATCCCGTTGTGGGAAAATAATCTAGGTCATGGCGCCCGAGGATTTTTAAAGTACCTATGCCGAGTCACGTGGGAGGACGAGTTTAGATGGGTGGTGGGGGAACGTTTCTCCGTGGTGGTGCGCTGGATTATCATTGGTGGTTGGTAAAGAAATTCTAGAAAAATTCAGACGAACTTTTCAAGGAAGAGCTGATCGAGTGTTTTGACCTTTCGAAAAAACTTTCTAGGTTGAAACAGAGGACACTCAAGTAGAAGAAGGCGAAACACAGGAAGATGACAAAGAGAAAGAAGTATTAAGAACATTTAGAAGGTTTTTTGAAATCGAGAAACGCATAGAATAAAGACAGGCAAAGGAAAAAAAAATATAGAGGGCGCGGAGGCAATAAAGGGAAGCAAATGAGAATGACAAAAAAATCAGAAACTGAAAACGCATAGGCGGTGCAGGAAATTTCTCACCATATCCTGAAATTATTTACGTAACTTGCGAGGGAGTCGTCTCCATGACCTACTGACTTAATGGTCAAGTCCCTGTTTTGAGGTTAAAAGTTGTCTATCTCCACCGGCAGGTTCGCGTCGCCTGGTACGCCCTTGCATTGTCAAAGCGAAATTACTGTCACCAAATATCACAATTTCCGAGATAGGTGTTGGGCCATCCGGTTGTGGGAAAATAATCTAGGTCATGGCGCCCGAGGATTTTTAAAGTACCTATGCCGAGTCACGTGGGAGGACGAGTTTAGATGGGTGGTGGGGGAACGTTTCTCCGTGGTGGTGCGGTGGATTATCTTTGGTGATTGGTAAAGAAATTCAGACGAACTTTTATGTTCAGGTTACACATTTTCAAGGAAAAGCTGATTGAGTGTTTTGACCTTTCGAAAAAACTTTCTAGAGTGAAACAGGGGACACTCAAGTAGAAGAAGACGAAACACAGGAAGATGAAAAAGAGAAAGGAGTACTAAGAACATTTAGAAGGTTTTTTGGAATCGAGAAACGCATAGAATAAAGACAGGCAAAGTAAAAAAAGATATAGAGGGCGCCGGAGGCAATAAAGGGAAGCCAAGGAGAATGACAAAAAATCAGAAACTGAGAACGCATAGGCGGTGCAGGAAATTTCTCACCATATCCTGAAATTATTTACGTAACTTGCGAGGGAGTCGTCTCAATGACCTACTGACTTAATGGTCAAGTCCCTGTTTTGAGGTTAAATGTTGTTTATCTCCACCGGCAGGTTCGCGTCGCCCGGTACGCCCTTGCATTGTCAAAGCGAAATTACTGTCACCAAATATCACAATTTCCGAGAGAGGTGTTGGGCCATCCGGTTGTGGGAAAATAATCTACGTCATGGCGCCCGAGGATTTTGAATGTACCTATCCCGAGTCACGTGGGAGGACGAGTTTAGATGGGTGGTGGGGGAACGTTTCTCCGTGGTGCTGCGGTGGATTATCTTTGGTGGTTGGTAAAGAAATTCAGACGAACTTCTATGTTCAGGTTACACATTATCAAGGAAAAGCTAATCGAGTGTTTTGACCTTTCGAAAAAACTCTCTAGGGTGAAACAGAGGACACTCAAGTAGAAGACGACGAAACACAGGAAGATGACAAAGAGAAAGGAGTATTAAGAACATTTAGAAGGTTTTATGGAATCGAGAAATGCATAGAATAAAGACAGACAAAGTAAAAAAAGATATAGAGGGCGCTGGAGGCGATACAAGGAAGCAATTGAGAATGACAAAAAATCAGAAACTGGGTACACAGAGGCGGTGCAAGAAATGTATCATCTTATCCTGAAATTATACACGTACCTAACTTGCGAGGGAGTAGTCTTAATGACCAAAGGACTTTCAAGCAGGTCCATGTTTTGGGGGTAAAGGTTGTTCATCTTCACCGGCAGGTTCGCGTCGCCCGGTACGCCCTTGCGAAATGAAAGCGAAATTAGTGTCACCAAATTTGACATTTTGCGAGATAGGTGTGGGGCCATCTGATTGTGGGAAAATCCTTTAGGTCATGACCTAGATCATGGCGCCCGAGGATTTTGAATGTACTTATGTCAAGTCACGTGGGAGGACCAGTGTAGATGGGTGGTGGGGGAACGTTCCTCCATGGTGCTGTGGTGGATTATCTTTGGTGGTTGATGAAGAAATTCTATTCTCAAGGAAAAGTTGATCAAGTGAAAAACTTTCTAAGGTGAAACAGAGGACACTGAAGTAGAAGAAAATGAGTCACTGCAAGATGATGAAGAGGAAGGAATCTTAGGGATTTTTGGAAGAAGCTTTTGGAATCGACAAACGCATAGAAGAAAGCAGACAAAGTAGAAAAAAGCAAAGAGAGCACCGTAGACGATAAAGGACGATATCGAAAAAATTGAAAGAGAAGTAAAGAAAACAAAAGACATAAAATCAGAAACAAAATATAGTGGCAAGAAGAGGAGTCCTTGCAAGGAGGGACAAAAGGAGCGGAAGCATCAGAATAAGAAGTAGATAAAGATAAAAAAAAAGAAGTTGAGAGGTTGGACGACTCTAGGCAGGGAGGTAGTACAAAGGGATCTTTCACACCTCAACTCAAAGTTGTTTGTGCTCACCTTATGTCCTCCACTCAAGCGAATTTTCATTTTGGTTTTGAAACCGGGATTTTGTAACAATTACACCATATTTCAGCAAGCGGTTTCTACAGGGAAACCGCACCACCTGTTGTACGTTTCGCATCTAGTACTCCTTGAACTAGAGTACACCCTCTTGCAACTGCTTAGCGAATTATTCCCCCCCGGTTGTGCTCATAGTTTGTAATTAACTTGTCCCGACACGTTTCGGTTTAACGACCCAGACGTGCAGACTGCCTCATCCTCCCCAAAAGCGAAACTAGAACAAACGAGCCGAAGCCAAACTCAATTTTCGGAAACGCGCGTCCAAACGTCCATGACAATTTGTTTACAGAAAAAAAAGGGCATCAATTCCATCCCTTCTCGCGCGACACGCATTTACCCCAATACATTTGTATAGTGTATGCGCAGAACATTGTAGCAATCACCCCTTTTCAGTCGATCTTTTCCACCGGGAAAGACGCCGCTCGCTTCGCCTTTCAGCCCGCGACAAGCCTAAACTCGACAGAAGAATGCTAGTGATTGAAAACGGTCGACGGTTTTGCGTTAAATCGCGATAATTACAGCGAACGATGTACGTGTCTTTCGATCGCGTCGCGTAAACAATGAAATTAAAGCGTTCAAAATGGCGGCGAATTACCTACTTTCCGGTACAAATTTCGACGGCGGCTGTGCGTTCATAATCAGTTGGCGTAAATTAGAAACGAATTTAGAGAACTAATAAATAATTAATTAAAGTCAATAGTTGTTACAAATTTAGGGGTGAGTATCTATCTCTGATGGCTTGTTTGATTGTGATCGATAATTTCCCGCCGCGAATAACGAGGGTGAAATTACGCTTTTTTTTCTGACTCATACCCTTTAAGGGAATGAAACCCTTATTATTACGGTAAAGGGATGTATGAGTAGTATCAGGCGTTTCCGCACTATTGCGGCGGGTTACGCGCGTTTCCGCCTCCTGTTGTTTGCGATAGTAGATCGAAGGGGAGGGAAATTAATAATTAATATATAAATAAACAAACGATATTAATATTGATTTTCTATTCCCGTCACATTTTCCCCACCTTGACCTCGTTCGAAGGTTTTTACAAGAAAAAAAACTGGAAGCTTGATCGGTATCGGATAACGGATTTGGAATGTAGTCGTGACCTTTGAGCTAATTTTATTAATGTTGGTATTGTAAGGCATCGGATATGCTTTAAAGGGCACGGAAGTTGGGCAAGAGAAATGTCCCAATGTCTTCTTGGGCTTCCAAAGGTGGAAAGGCTTTTAGTCAATCGGATCGCTTTCTAAAATTTCAGTTACGAAATCCCTAGGTAAACCAAGGCAAGTTCTAGCATCAGGTTCAATGGGACAGGGACTCCTCCTGTGCTGGGTGCTGGTGGCTCGCAGTAGGTACTCCATACCTCCCCAGACACCATGATGTTACATTTTTCATTAAAACGTTCCAGTTACCCACCAGACACCAAGGTGTTACATTCTCCATTAAATAGGTCACGATATGGAATTTTCATGTATATATTTTCGTGGAGAATTTAGTACCGGGGGGTCTGGGGGTACAGAATACTCCTTATGATACTATTATGGTTGTTTTTGGAAAATGGTACCTCCCAGATATCCCATAAAACTTTCAGCCTTTGTGGGTTTCAGATGCTGTCAAACCAATCCCCTGACCCAGAATAATCAAATCTTCCAAATTCCTAAATGGAATGCAATCCCGCAGCAAAATCTCAATCCCGGTATTTGCGGGATTGTTAGGTGTTAATCCCGCGGGATCCCGGTATTTGCGGGATCTCGCAAAACTTTAAATAAATTGGCAAATAAGCAATTGCGAAGTCTGATCGAAAAAGTACGAATTGTTTTGGATTTTATGCACCAAAAATAATATGAAAAAGTGTTTTCTCGAGAAATTTTGGTGCAGTCAATTTTTGGTAAAAAAGGAAGGTTGTACACTGCCTTTTTTTGAGGCCCCCAAAAAAAATTGTCTCAGATCGACCCGGAAAAAAAATTTCTTATATAATGTGGCCTGTAGAATCCATAATTTCAATCAGTTCCTAGATTGGGCTACTAGTTCAAAAGTTACAGCCCTTTGAATTTTCTTTCGAAATTGGTTTCTAGTGTATAACTTTTGATTGAGAAGTCCGATCGAAAAAGTACGAATTGTATTGGATTCTACGTACCAAAATTAATAAGAAAAATTGTTTTCCCGAGAAATTTTGGTGCAGTCGATTTTTGGTAAAAAAGGAAGGTTGTACACTGCCTTTTTGTGAGGCCCTAAAAAAAATTGTCTCAGATCGACCCGGAAAAAAAATTTCTTATAGAATGTGGCCTGTAGAATCCATAATTTCAAACAGTTCCAAGAAGATTGGGCTACTAGTTCAAAAGTTACAGCCCTTTGAATTTTCTTTCGAAATTGGTTTCTAGTCTATAACTTTTGATTGAGAAGTCTGATCGAAAAAGTACGAATTGTTTTGGATTCTACGCACCAAAATTAATAAGAAAAAGTGTTTTCCCGAGAAATTTTGGTGCAGTCGATTTTTGGTAAAAAAGGAAGGTAACACTGCCTTTTTTTGAGCCCCGAAAAAAAAATTGTCTCAGATCGACCCGGAAAAAAAATTTTCTTATAGAATGTGGCCTGTAGAATCCATAATTTCAAACAGTTCCAAGATTGGGCTACTAGTTCAAAAGTTACAGCCCTTTGAATTTTCTTTCGAAATTGGTTTCTAGTCTATAACTTTTGATTGAGAAGTCTGATCGAAAAAGTACGAATTGTTTTTGATTCTACGCACCAAAATTAATAAGAAAAAGTGTTTTCCCAAGAAATTTTGGTGTAGTCAATTTTTGGTAAAAAGGAAGGTTATACACTGCCTTTTTTTGAGCCCCGAAAAAAAAATTGTCTCAGATCGACCCGGAAAAAAAAATTTTCTTATAGAATGTGGCCTGTAGAATCCATAATTTCAAACAGTTCCAAGATTGGGCTACTAGTTCAATAGTTACAGCCCTTTGAATTTTCTTTCGAAATTGGTTTCTAGTCTATAACTTTCGATTGAGAAGTCTGATCGAAAAGTACGAATTGTTTTGGATTATACGCACCAAAATTAATAAGAAAAAGTGTTTTCCCGAGAAATTTTGGTGCAGTCAATTTTTTGTAAAAAAGGAAGGTTGTACACTGCCTTTTTTTGAGGCCCTAAAAAAAAATTACCTGTCTTTTTAGGGTTTCAAAAATCATAGTACATTTTTAACAAAAAAAGTTTAACAATTATTTAAAAAATAATTCGCCGTTATCAGTTTCATTAACAAAGTAAACAGAGTCGTCCCCTTGGTCGACAAATTCCTCAGTCCCGCAAATCCCGCGGGATCCCGCTCCATTTATGTGCGGGACTAATCTCGCAAAAATGCTGCGGGATCCCGGTATTTCGGGATCCCGCAATCCCGGTATTGCATTCCCTAGTTCTGTCGTTTCATTAGATTTCAAATTCAAATTCAAAACGTTCAACAATCAAATGACTCATGTTTGGAATACCTCCAGGGGGAAAAACGTTCTTTCGAAAGGAGGTTGTATGGTAGTTTTTGGGATGTGATGGCTCGATCCCTCCTATGGTGGGGAGTACTCCATACATTGTGTGACCTTCTTTCGAAAGGAAGTTGTATGGTAGCTTTTGAAAAAAGGGACCTCCTTCCAGAGAGCCCCTGGTGTTACAATCTCCATTAAGACGTTCAGCCCTAGAACTCTCACGTATGGAATACCCACAGAAAGAGAAACTTTGATGATACTACCAACAAAAAATCATAAACATACTGATTATCCTAAATATTTTGGGGGAAAATTTAGTACCGGAGGTCTGGGGGGTATACACCCAAGAGAAAGCGATTATTATGGTAGTTTTTGGAAAAATGTAATCAACCCTCCTGTGCTGGGTGGTATTGGCTTGGGGAGGGGGGGGGGTCCATACCACCCAGACTCCTCAAGGTATCGAATACCTCCTAGTAAAAAGAGATTGTGTGACCTTCTTTTGAAATGAGGTTGTATGACAGTTTTTTGTTAAAAGCTAATCGATTCCTCCTGCGCTTGGAGATATTCCGTACCCCCCAGACTACCCCAGACTACCCCATACCCTTGGAATTCCCATGGACGGTATATCTTCCAGGAAGAGAAAGTTAGATCGTACTTACAACAAAATAATCATATACATATACATGTGTCCTATTCATTTTGGGGGAGAATTTACTACCTACCTGGGGGTCTGGGGGGTATGCGAATACCCACCAGAAAAAAGAGATTAAGTGACCTTCTTTGAAAAGGAACTTGTATGATGGTTTTTGGAGAAAGGTAATCGACCCTTCCCGTGCTGGGTGGTATCGGCTGGAAGATATTCCATACATGTGAGTTCCAGGACTAAACGGTTTAATGTGGAATATAAAACCGGGGAATCTGGGGAGCCGGAATACCCCCCTCCCCAGACAAAACCACATAGCACAAGAGGAATCGGTTACCTCTGTCCAAAAACTACTATGCTACTTCCCTACTTCCATTCGAAAGAAGGTTACCAAATGTCCTTTTCCTGCAGGGTATTCCCTACCCCCCAGACCCCCTGGTGCTATATTCTCATGTACGGAATACTCTCCAAGAAAAAGAGATTGCGTGACTTTCTTTCGAAATGACATTTCATGGTAGTTTTTGGAAAAAAACACTGATCGACTCATTCTGTGTTGGCTGGTATTGGCTTCCATACCATCTAAACCCACCGGTGTTACATCGTCATGTATGGAATACCTCCCAGAAAGAGAACAAACATTTGATCACACTCAACGATTCCTCTTGTAGTAGGTGGTACTGGCGGGAGGGGGGGGGGTTATTCCATCCCCCCAGACCCTCCGGTTATACATTCTCCATTAGGCGGTTCAGTTCTTGGAGATCACATGTATGGAATATCTCTCAGAAGAAGAAATTTGGAGAACTGAGGACCGGAGGGACCTAGGGGTATGGAACACCCTAGCAAAGGAAGAAACGTCTCTTGAAAATAAGTGGTATGCTAGTTTTCTGGCAAAATAATCGATTCCTCCTGTGCAGGGTAGTATTGGCTGAATGGTATTCCATAATCCCCCCTCCCCTCCCGTGTTTACATTCACTAGTCCTTGGAAATCTCTTGTATGGAATACCTCCCGGAAAGAGGAGATTTGATGACACTCAAAACAAAATAATCATTCATGGCGATTATCTTAAACGTTTTAGGAGGAGAATTTGTACCGTTGGGGGGGGGGGGGTCAGAGCAGTATAGTGATCTTCTGTCGAAAAGGAGTTGTATGGCATTGGTTGAGAGGTATTCCATACTCCATTACATAACATTTTTTGGATTTTTTAGTTTCTTGAAATTCCACAGTTAAAATTTTTCGGATTTGTAATCAGAGATCTCATACTCTTATACTCTTCAGGTCCGTAATTAGAACCCTCAGATCTTTAAGATCCTTGAGAGCATCACATTTCTTTGAATCCTTCGTTCCTCAATTCAATGTGTAATTAGAGCTTTGGGATCTTTAGGATCATTAAGATTTTTGAGTTTCTTTAATTCACATTCAACATTTCTCAGATCCCCATTAAAACTTTAGGATCTTTAATATTCTCGACTCTGGTTTTTGACTCATTTTTAAAAATTTTTAAATTCGAAAGCAAGTAATTGTGATCTTTTTGGATTTTTTTAGTTTCTTTAAATTCCACATTTAAAATTTTTAATGTCCCCATTTTCCGATTGCTTATTATTTCCCCTTCCTATCATTATGTTCTTCAGAGGTTCTATAGATCACGAGAATCCTTCCCCCCCAAATTTACAGGCCTTCAGATACCTCAGGTTTTTAGAATTCCTGCGACTATTGGGAGACCGACCAGCACGAAAAATGTTATGTCAGTTTTTCGCAGGCCTGGATAATAAATTTTCCCAATTTTACAATTGTCTCTCAACGCATTTATGTGACCCTGATACCCCAATTTTTGACACAAAAAATTAGAGAAGGCCTTATGACATTCTTTCAGTACATTGTTCACCTTCTTTGGTTTTTTACTATCCCCTTGGAACAATAATTTGGGAGTGAAATCGGACCAGGAGAAGACGAGAAGTGTGGAAACGGATTGTGTGTATTTTCTCGTATTAGGTACGTTCTCCTGATACGTGAGCGTAACAAGAACGTGTAAAAAAATGTCCCGAAAATCTTGTACCAGGACCACAGAACCGCAAGATGCTGGTACACTATTGGTATACAACTCGCGTTATTTATTACGCTTTCCCGATACATGCAACACGAGTATGCGACTTAAACCTCTTTAGTATTATGCCTTCCTGATATAAATCTCATTACCCTGATACACTTTCCTTTTTTTGAGTCGTTGGTTATTGTTAGGTTCATATAGACCAAGAAGCGCGAATAATTTGTAACTAAGCATGTTCTCTTGATAAACATTTCCCCTTAAAAAATCAGGGACACAGAAAATCCGGAATCTTTTTCACTCTTAGGGGAATATACGTCTCAAAGACTGTTGCAAACCTTAATTGCAAATATTTTCCTTCGTGTTATGCAGCCCTGATGTAAACTTATTTTTCAAAATGATGTGCCTGTTTTATCAAGATCATAGAAAAGCAAGAGGTATGTTAAAGATTGTTGTAGCAGAAAATGGGCACGTCTAGAATTTAGAGAAAGCAAACTGCTCCAGTAAGTCCTAATAAACGCAAGAAGCCTTTTTTTAAAAATTGTTATATCAGGGTTACAGAAACTGAGTACGTGTAGGATTCAGTGACAGGCACCTTCCCTATAATATACTCGTCTAACCTAAAATCTGTTCTATCCAGATTTTAGAAACGCAAGACGTTTATTTTAGAAATTGTTGTATCAGGATCACAGAAACTGAATACCCGTAGAAAATTATATTATGCTTTCCCGATTCGCTTTCCTATTTTAAAAACGGTTCTGTCAACATGACACAAATCGATAGGAATATTATTTTCAATTTTCTCGAAAGATTAAAGTGCTCAGGTGCGCGAAAAGGGTATCGACATAAATTCGGATGATTGACGATCGTCCCTTACAGCGATGCTCGTATTCGTACAATTTATTTTATTTACCTCGGGGAACTAATTTCGTCCTTCTTTTGTTGCAGTAAACCACCAACATACTTTGTATTCGCGATGAAGTCATAGTATCAGGAGAAAATCAAGATGGAGAACTCGCTATCTCTCTACTGCACGCAATTGAGGGCGATGCTCAAGCGGAACATCCTCTTAAAGCGGAGGGAGAAGCGGAAAACGACTGCTGTAAGTATTTTACCTCTTCACTGTTTAGTTCTGTATCTCTTTTGGTCAGAGGGAAAGAGGGAGAGAGGGAGAGAGGGAGAGAGGGAGAGAGGGAGAGAGGGAGAGAGGGAGAGAGGGGGAGAGGAGGGAGAGAGGGGAGAGAGGGGAGAGAGGGAGAGAGGGAGAGGAGAGGGAGAGAGGGAGAGAGGGAGAGAGGGAGAGGGGAGAGAGAAGGGAGAGAGGGAGAGAGGAGAGAGGGAAGAGAGGGAGAGAGGGAGAGAGGAGAGAGGGAGAGAGGGAGAGAGGGAGAGGAGGAGAGGGAGAGAGGGAGAGAGGGAGAGAGGGAGAGAGGGAGAGAGGGAGAGAGGGAGAGAGAGAGGGAGAGAGGGAGAGAGGGAGAGAGAGAGGGAGAGAGGGAGAGAGGGAGAGAGGGAGAGAGGGAGAGAGGGAGAGAGGGAGAGGTCTTTCAACAAAATACACCGATTTTGAAGGAAAGCAAAGTTGTTACACAATACACATTGCGTGGTAGAATTGAAAATCCCCATTTATTTACCCCTTTAAAAGCGTCGATTTGGAAATAACTGACGCGTGAAACTAAAAATGCAATTTTATTCGTCCATTCAAAGCGCGAGTAACAATAACTACCTATGATTCACAAATAAAACCCCTTTCGACCGGGGGATTGTCCAATCAATACCGACGTGACACCGCTACTACGATTTCTAATTATAACAAATGCATTTTCGAGGCTTGCCGGTGCCATATCGATCCTGTACCGCAACGTTGTCCCGGTGTCTCCATTTTATAGTAAAAATTGATGTAACGAGAGATAGGGGGATGCTACCCCCAAAACCGTTTTCAACGCTTACAAGCTGCTATAGTGTAAATCAATATTGAAATCTACGGTTTGGGAGACGAAAAAATTGTGTAGCGGGGTTCCATTCGGTTTTAACAAACGCCGAGAGCGAGACTCATTAAAAACTGTATTTGCAACGAACGAATTATGGACACTGGCTCATTATGTTCGTTTGTATTGCGGAAACGGAGATTTTTTTCAATTTATAGGGTCGTGAACCTGTTCGCTAAAACAGTATTTCCCTATGTCTACTTTTGAATGACAAAACCTCCTCTGAAAGGCGCCTAATTTTATGCCACCAAAATAAATTAAAACAAATAAAGTCCTGGCTCTCATATTAACTAATTTGAGTATTGTTGCTTTGGCAGAAAGGTATGAATGAATTCTTAAACTTTTGCTGAAACAGTGAAATTTTAAGAGGAGCACAAAATTAATCAATAAACGTGTGGAATGTACTAATGCAAAATCAAATTAGGCGCCCTTCAGAAAAAGTGTTGTCTTTTAATAGTAGACTTAGGGGAGAACAATACAAGTAAATCCCTATGTCTACTTCTTAATAAATATCACTGTATGTATATAAAACTCTTCAGTTACTGTCAAGCAAAGCACAGCTAAAACTACTGGGAGCGCAGAAAACTGAAATTTGACATTTAGTTCCTTGGGGATTGTAGGAGAGCACTAAGAGATTTCCTACGGGAGCGGTAACGGGATTTTACGTTTTGAAGTCGAAACTGTGCAAGATAGAGACTTGTCAGTTACAAGGCAAGTTTCTTTGAAAACGCTAAGGTGTACTCACAAAGCATTTCCCGAAATTCCCACGGGAACGGGGAAAGACAAGATCATGAAAATCAGGGGAAGATCTTTTCCCATCACCGTGAGAATATTCTGTAACAGGAGAATATATGTGCGAGAAGGTGTTCCTGCTCCTGATACGCAGAGAATCAGTTAACAACCTGTCGAAAAATTTTTCTGTGTACCAGGAGAGCATGATCGACGAGGTCTTCTTTAGTAACCATTATTAAACTATGTACCAGAAGAATATAGTGCGCGAAGAGGTGTTTTTCGCACGAAGTACCGGGTAACAAATTGTCTATTAGGGGAATATGCTGGACGAGCATCCTTTTTTTAAAACCATGTTTCTACTTCTGATCGGAGTATCAGTTAAGAACGTAGTGTCAATTTTTTCTGGCTACCAGGAGAACATGATAGACGAGCAATATTTCAACACCTTTCATTAGATTAAACTGTTATATCAGGAGAGTACAATGTGTAAATGTTTTTTTTTCTATGAGAAACACCCTACATTGGGTTAAGTTTTATAAATCATGTGCCAGGAGAGTATGCAAGGAGGTGATTTTGCGCCTGGTACGCGGAGTATGATTATTAGCAAACTCGAGTAAAATGTCTGTGAAGAGAACTTTAGATAAAAAGGTTTTCTTTTGTAATCACCCTACCGTATATTAGTTTATTTTCAAACCTTGTAGTTGTAGGAGAAAGTAATGTGCGAGGAGGTGTGTCTGATCTTAATACACCAGTGTATGTTAGTATATGCTTGTAAAAGACCTCCTTGTCTACCAGGAGAGCATGATAATGAGAAATATTTCCATTTAGCTTGTATCAGGAATACATAATGCGAGTGGAGGTATTTTTGCTCCTAGTATATGTTAGGGCACGCGAATAAAATTTTTCTGGTTATCAGGATAGTATGATAGATAAGGAGTTTATTCTCTATTACTATGAGAAATGTTTCAGCACCCTTTCTTAGCTCCATTCTTACATATCCTGTATCAGGAGAACATAATTCAAGAGTAACTGGTTCTGATCCTAATACACTGGGCATAACTCATCAAACGCTTATAAAATTTCATTGGCTAGCAGTACATGACGGCCGAGCATGCTTTTTTCCATTACCATGAAATTTCTTCCAAACCTCTTCAAAATCTCTTCCAAATCTCTCCAAATCTCTTCAAAATTCAAAAGATTCTGTGGCTATCAGGAGAGCCAGGCGATATTGTATCAGGTGAATATGTCATCGAGGAGCGGTTTTGGCTTCTGATGCATGGTCTGTCAGTTAGCAAGCTATTAGAAAATTTCTCTGTGCACCAGGAGAACATGCCGGGCAGCTTCCCTCGACTGTCCGTATCAGGAGACTGTAATGCGTGAGGAGGTGTTTATGAACCTAATACACGGAGTATCAGTTAGCAAATAATTGTATTCTCTAGCTACTAGGAGAACATGAATGACGATGAGGTCTCTTTCCGTTACCATACGAAGCATTCTAGCTCCCCCACAGTATCAGGAGAAAATACTGTGCAAGGAGGTGATTTTGCTCCTCATACAAGCAGTATATATCTAATAAGATGCCTTTGGCTATGAAGAGAACATGATGGATGAGGAGGTTTTTTTGTCCCTATCGTGTATTAATTTTTACAAACCCTGTATGAGGAGAATGCGGTGCGCGAGGAGGTGTATCTGATTAGGAAACGTTTTCAAAGACTTCCTCGTCTACCAGGAGCGCATGATAGAGAAGGAGGTCTTTGTCCATTACTAGGAGAAATATTTCAACCCTCTAATTTAGTTAAAATCTTGTATCACGAGTATACAATGGGCGAGAAGGTTTTCCTACACCGAGTAAATGTTAGCCAACGCTTATAAAATTCTTCTGGGTATCAGGAGAACATGATAGAGTCCATCGCCATGTGAAACATTCTAATTCTTTTGTCTATCAGTATAGCATGATAGATAAGAAGCTCTCTTTCCATTACCATGAGAAATATTTCAGCATCCTACCTTAGCTTCATTGCTACAAATCTCGTATCAGGAGAACATCATTCACGAGGAGCTGTTTCTGATCCAAATAAACGCTTGAAAAATTGCATTGCCTACCAGAAGAACATGATGGCCCAGGATGCTTTATACAATTACCATGAGAAATGGCTTAGATCTTTAGGAGAATATACAGTGTGAGGACGTGGAGTATCAACAAAAAAGCTCTGAGAAACTTTATTTTGCACCAGGAGAACGTGATTGACGAAGAGGTCTTCCGTCCCCATGAGAAGAAACTTCAGCACTTCACCTTAGCTTGAATATTAGTAGTATCAGTACCAGGATAGTATGATCGACGAGAGGGGAGGGGAGGGAGAGCATTACCATGAATGGCACTTCGATTCCCCCCTTTGGAATAAACTCTATATCGGGAGAACTTCTTGTCAGGAGAGTATAATGTGCGAACAGGTGTTTCTGATCCTGGAACAGAGAGTATCAATTACGAAACTTTTGTAAAATTTCTCTAGTTAACAGGAGAACATAATATTTTAACACGATATTTTCCTTTAAGCTTTTACGTATCACAGGATGTCACGTGCGAGAAGGTGTTTACTCCATTAATAAACTGGACTTTTAAAATGTCTCTGGTTACCAGGAGAACATAAGTTAGGAAACGCATGTAAAATTCTTCTGGCTGCTAGGAAAGCATAGTGGAGAAGGATGTCTTTTTCCGCCACCTCGAGAAACATTTTAACACGCTACTTTGCATACCTACCAGGAGAACATCAAGATCAAGGAAATCTTTTATCACCAAGAGAAATACTTCAACGCATGTATCATGAAAATACAATGTGCGAGGAGGTTCCCTGCTACCAAAACAACGCCTTTAAAGTTTCTTTAGCTATAAGGAGAACATGATGGTTGAGAAAGTCACCATCAGAAACACGTCGCTTTGGTCTAAACTTATGGAAACTTATCGGAAGAATGTAATGCGCGAAGGGGCGCTGTGCTCTTAATACACGCCCTTCTAAAAGGATAAGAAGGTAGGAGAATACGTTAAACGAGGAGGTCTTTTTATATCACCACGTGAAATAGTGTCTCAGGAGGACAGAGTGTGGGAAAATGTGCTTCTCCTAAAACACTGAATATCAGTGCCTCTCTGAATATTAGGAGAACATGATAGACGAGGAATTTTGTTTAATGGGATTTATAATGATGATGATTAATTTTTTTTGGTCTTTTAATTTCTATAGGACATTGTTTCTTAATAGGTTTCGGAAGCCACTCGAGTCCAGATCTCTGGGATTTATGTCACATTTTGTCTACTTAATTAGTAGGTTACAATTGCTAGCTCAAGAATTAGGTCACACTCCTCAGGAGGTCGGCAAGATAGTTGGCCCCACCTCTTTCTTCTGTGCTTTCATGAATTTAACGGACTTGGTTATTACACGTGGCATCAAAAAGGGATAGTGCTTGGTAAAAATAATAGTGGGAATTAGTTTTAGGGGAGATCTATTCGGGTTTTTACTAACGATGTAGTCTGAAAATCAAGTGGTTAATTAATTCGCGTCTTGATCGCAGGAGAGCCAATAGTATCGCGCGATTCCTGGTGGAATACGGAAAAGATTCGCGCTTGGAAAGTCGTTGGTACTAGTGCGGGACCCTTAAAAAAATTTAATTCGATTTTTGGAACGTAAAATATAACAACGCGAGTTCCGGTTAGCCATAGTGCGGATTATCGCGAAAATGAAAAGGACGTAATAGACAATTAGAGTTGAGTAGGGAGATAAAGCAACTGCTGCCTTTGGTCAAGGACAATTTAACTAGGCGCGCTAATATATTTTGCTAAGAACCATTGTTAAAACTGCTGTGTAAACGTTTCATTCCGTGACCCCGAAGAAGAGATTGAATTCTGGTTGTTCAAAGTCCTAAAATGATCCAGGATTATTGTATTATGATATTATTGGTCTTCCTCCTCCGTCTAGGGTTATACTAATATATGATCTTCTTTCGTAGGAGGTGCTACTGCCGTTGTACTCGTTAGGCGTATTGATTGTTATGAAAATTCTAATACCGAACCCCAACTTTCCCGTAATGGACACACCGAGAGGGGAGGCGAAGCTGTACGACCTGTTTAGCAATTTAACGAAGCACACAATTGCCGTTGTTCCTAACAGTACGCAAATTAGGGTAAGTGCCGGACGAGCTTGCTGGAGGAATGACCTCTATTCTAGGATTTTATTAACAACAACGTAAACGAGGTTTGGCAAATGCTGAACTTGGACTCGGAACTCTCGTGGTCGTACTATGCGACGAGGGAGGAGCTGCTGACCGCGTACTGGTTGGAACCCAAGGCTATTCCCATCGCGGTAATCTTCAACACGACAAATCCGTTGAGCGACGCCTTTAAGTAGAGTTGGCCCGGCTCTCGACCATGGCCACTAATTCAATCGCTTACAGATACGAGATTCGTACTAATCCGTCGCACTCGGAGACGCCGTCCACCACGATGCTCTACGGCTCGCCCGCATTGTGCAGGCAGTCGCACGGGCACTGGTCCGCCGTACTTTCGAAGGAGAACCGAGGCACGTGCCCAGTGAACGAGTACTACTTCTCGGGTTTCGTAGGCCTACAGGCGCTCCTCGACTTCACGAAGATAAGGGTGAGCCCCGAGCTCTTTGCGCGCCCCCCGAGTCACCCATCCGCTTTCAGAGTCGCACCGGACGAAACGACACAGTAGTCCCCCACCTCCTCCTCCAGATGTTCCCGAAGGAGGCCTTCACCGGCAACTGGATGGTGGCGTTTCGCGTAGTCATACCACTTTACATGGTAATGGCGCTCTCTCAGTTCGTCGCCTACCTCCTCATTCTAATCGTCGGCGAGAAGGAGAACAAGATCAAGGAGGGGATGAAGATCATGGGCCTCAAAGACTCGGTCTTTTGGTTGTCCTGGTTCGTCATCTACGGCATCTTCGTCCTTTTCCTGTCGGCGGTATGCTGCATACTCCTCTACGCGTTGAAGGTATTCCAAAACACGAACTTGCTCCTCATCTTCCTCCTCGTCCTGCTCTACTCGCTCTCGATAATAATGTTCGGCTTCATGATCACGCCGTTCTTCGACAAATCGCGCGTAAGTAGCACGACGGCCGTCGGGCGTAAGTAAGTCCTAACGTTTTAGACCGCCGGTATTTTGGGGAACTTTATGGTAAACATTTTAAGCCTATTTTACTTCATTCAAGTTTTTGTTGATCATTCCAGTTCGTTAGTTTTCTGGATTGTTTCGGTTATAAGCTCGACCGGTTTCGCTTTGGCGATGGATAAGGTAGGTGACGCGTCGGTGTCCACCCTTGTTTAGTTCCATTACAGGCCTTGGTAATGGACCTTTCCGGCGAAGGCGTCAACATTCACAATTTGTGGTCGGGGCCGGGTATGCCCTTCGGCGGCAGTCTGATAATGATGGCCTTTGATATTGTCTTGTACGGGTTTTTGGCTTTTTACCTCGACAGCGTGATACCGAGTAAGTTCCAGGTGATTTCCGGCTTCAGAGTCAACGTAGGTACTCGTTTCAGGTGAGCACGGAACGAAGAGGTCGCCGTTCTTCTGCTTCAAGCTATCCTATTGGTGCAGAAAGAGGGTGATCAGGGTAAGCTTGTACGGGCGAAAGCGTCTAATTGTTAAAAAAGGCAATTACAGGTTCCGTTAGCCAATGGGACTTCGGCTGGATCGCTGCTTAATGGCGACGACGCAAATTGTGACATTGAGCAAGTGTCGAGGGAGATGAAAGGTCGTGAGGCGATCAAAATTGTCGATCTATTCAAATCGTTCCAGGTAAGTCTTGTATTTGTATACGAGTTTTTTTTTGAGAATCATCTTTTTAAGGGCTTTAAACATTCCCTGGAACATTCCTGCCATTGTTCCCAAAATATTCCAAAAAAACATTTAATATTTCTCAAAGTGCCTAAAGGTCACAACATCATTTTCTAAGGTTCTTCTGTGAGTCTCCTGAAATTCTCAAGTATTCCTCATGGAAATTCTCAAAAAATCCTCCATATTACAAATGTTTCGAGGAATCTCGTGAAGGTTCTTGGGTATATCCACCCTTGATGTCTCAAAATATGTCTTAAGGGATGAAATACGCCCTTGAGGTTTCAAAATATTCACGATACACTTACACAAAAAAGGTTCAAACTTTTATGGCTTTTGTAGCATGTCTAAAGGGGTGAAATCCACCCTTTGTCTCAAAATATGTCTTACGGGATGGAATCCGCCCTTGGGGTCTCAAAATATTCACGATACACTCACACGAGAAAATTTCAAATTCTTATGGCCTTTGTAACATGTCTTAAGGGGTGAAATCCGCCCTTGAGTTCTAAAAAATTCATGAAATCCTTGCTCAAAAAAGTTTCACATTTTGTTGCCTTTTAAAAAAGCCTAAAGGGGTGAGATCCGCCCTTGAGACCTAAAAAAATTCATGAAACTCTCGCTCAGAAAAGTTTCAAATTTTTTTGCCTATTAAAAAAGACTAAAGGAGTGAAATATCCGCCCTTGAGGCTTAAAAAATTCATGATACACTTGCACAAAGAGTTTCACATACTAATAGGTTTTGTAACATGTCTAAAAGGGGGAAATCCGCCCTTGAGATCTCAAAATATTCACGATACACTCACACGAAAAAGTTTCAAATTCTAATGACCCCTGCGGCATGTCGTATGGAGTGAAATCCACCCTTGAGGTTTTAAAATATACCTTAAGGGATGGAATCCGCCCTTGGGGTTTCAAAATATGCCCTTCACAAGAAGGTTTCGAATTCTAATGCCCTTTAAAAATACGTAAAAGGGTGAAATCCGTCCTTGAAATCTGAAAATGTTCATAAAACAATTGCACAAAGAGTTTCAAACTCTAATGGCTTTTATAACACGTCTAAAGGGGTGAAATCCACCCTTGAGCACTAAAACCATTCACAAAACACTTGCGCAAAGAGTTTCAAATTCAAATGGGTTTTGTAACATGTCTAAAGGGGCGAAATCTGCCCTTGATGTCAAGAAAATTTCATGAAACTCTTGCACAAAACGGTTTCGAATTCTAATGGCTCTTATAACATGTTTAAAGGGGTGAAATCCACCCTTGAGGTCTCAAAATATTCACGATACACTTACACAAAAAGGTTTCAAATTCTAACGACCTTTGTAACATGTCTTAAGAAGTGAAATCCACTCTTGAGGTATCAAAATATGTCTTAAGGGATGGAATCCCCCCCATGGGGTCTCAAAATATGCACGATACACTTACACAAAAAAGTTTCAAATTCTTATGGCTTTTGGAACACGTCCTAAGGGGTGAAATCCGCAATTGAGTTCTAAAAAAAATTCATAAAACCCTTTCTCAAACAAGTTTCAAATGTTGTTGCCTTTAAAAAAGCCTAAAGGGGTGAAACATCCGCCCTTGAGGCCTAAAAAATTCATAATACACTTGCACAAAGAGTTTCACATACTAATGGGTTTTGTAACATGTTTAAAGGGGTGAAATCCGTCCTTGAGGTCTCAAAATATTCACGACACACTCACACGAAAAAGTTTCAAATTCTAATGACCTTTGTGATATGTCTTATGGAGTGAAATCCACCCTTGAGGTTTCAAAATATATCTTAAGGGATGGAATCCGCCCTTGGGGTCTCAAATATGCCCTTCACAAGAAGGTTTCGAATTCTAATGTCCTTTAAAAATACGTAAAAGGGTGAAATCCGCCCTTGAAATCTCAAAATGTTCATGAAACAATTGCACAAAGAGTTTCAAATTCTAATGGCTTTTATAACACGTCTAAAGGGGTGAAATCCACCCTTGAGCACTAAAACCATTCACAAAACACTTGCGCAAAGAGTTTCAAATTCAAATGGGTTTTGTAACATGTCTAAAGGGGCGAAATCTGCCCTTGATGTCAAGAAAATTTCATGAAACTCTTGCACAAAAAGGTTTCGAATTCTAATGGCTCTTATAACATGTCTTAAGGAGGGAAATCCACCCCTGAGGTCTCAAATTACGTCTTAAGGGATGGAATCCGCCCTTGAGGTCTCAAAATATTCACGATACACTTACACAAAAAAGTTTCAAATTCTTATGGCTTTTGGAACACGTCCTAAGGGGTGAAATCCGCCATTGAGTTCTGAAAAATATTCATGAAACCCTTTCTCAAAAAAGTTTCAAATGTTGTTGCCTTTAAAAAAGCCTAAAGGGGTGAAATATCCGCCCTTGAGGCCTAAAAAATTCATGATACACTTGCACAAAGAGTTTCACATACTAATGGGTTTTGTAACATGTTTAAAGGGGTGAAATCCGTCCTTGAGGTCTCAAAATATTCACGACACACTCACACGAAAAAGTTTCAAATTCTAATGACCTTTGTGATATGTCTTATGGAGTGAAATCCACCTTTGGGGTTTCAAAATATATCTTAAGGGATGGAATCCGCCCTTTGGGTCTCAAAATATGCCCTTCACAAGAAGGTTTCGAATTCTAATGTCTTTAAAAATACGTAAAAGGGTGAAATCCGCTCTTGAAATCTCAAAATGTTCATGAAACAATTGCACAAAGAGTTTCAAATTCTAATGGCTTTTATAACACGTCTAAAGGGGTGAAATCCACCCCTGAGCACTAGAACCATTCACAAAACACTTGCGCAAAGAGTTTCAAATTCAAATGGGTTTTGTAACATGTCTAAAGGGGCGAAATCTGCCCTTGATGTCAAGAAAATTTTATGAAACTCTTGCACAAAAAGGTTTCGAATTCTAATGGCTCTTATAACATGTTTAAAGGGGTGAAATCCACCCTTGAACTCTAAAAAAATTCATGAAACACTTACTCAAGAAAGTTTCAAATTCTGTTGCCTTTTAGAAAAGGTCTAAAGGGGTGAGATCCGCCCTTAAAGCTTAATAAAATTCCTGCAACACTTGCACAAGAAAGTTTCGAATTCTAATACCCTTTAAAAATATCTTACGGGGAGAAATCAGCTCTTGAGATCTAAAAATATTCGTGAAACTCTTGTACATAATTTTTCAAAGTTTAATGGCTCTTCTAACACGGTTCAAGGGGTGGAATCCGCCCTCGAGTTCTTAAAATGTTTATGAAACCCTTGCACAAAAAGGTTTCATATTCTGTTGCCTTTTAAAAAAGGTGCGAAGGGGTGAGATCCGCCATAGAGGTCTAAAAAAATTCAATTCAGGAAACACCTACACAAGAAAGTTTCGAATTGTAATGTCCTTTAAAAATATCTAAAAGAGTGAAATCCGCCCTTGAGCTCTAAAGAAATTCATGAAACACTTGCACAATAAAGTTTCCAATTCTAGTGCCAACAAAAAATGTCTAAAGGGGTAAAATCCTCCCTTGACGTCTAAAAATATTCATGTAACACTTGCACAAAAAGGTTTCAACATCTAATATCTTTTAAACATTTCTAAAGGGGTGAAATACAGCCTTGAGGCTTAAAAAAATTCATGAAACACTTGCACAAGAAAGTTTCGAATTCCAAAGTCTAAAAATATCTTAAGGGGTGAAATTAACCCTTGAGATCTAAAAATATTCATAAAACTCTTGCACAAAAAATTTCAAATGGCTCTTCTAACATGCCTAAAGGGATGGAATCCGCCCTCGAGGTCTTAAAATATTCATGAAACACTTGATCAAAATAATTTCAAATTCTTTTGCCTTTTAAAAAAGGCCTGAAGCGGTGAGATGCGCCCTAGAGGTTTAAAAAATGCATGAAACACCTACACAAGGAAGTTTCGAATTCAAATGGGGTGAAATCCGACCTTGAGGTCTAAAAGAATTCATGAAACACTTGCACAAGAAAGTTTCGAATTCCAATGTCTAAAAATATCTTAAGGGGTGAAATAAACACTTGTACAAAAAGTTTCATATTCTAATGGCTTTTGTAACATGTCTAAAGGGGTGAAATACGCCCTTGAGGATTAAAACTATTCACACTTGCACAAAGAGTTTAAAATTCAAATGGCTTCTGTAACAAAGGGGTAAAGGGGTGAAACCCGCACTTGAGGTCTAAAAAAATTCATGGAATCCTTTATCAAAAAGTTTCAAATTCTGTTGCCTCTTAAAAACGGTCTGAAGAGGTGAGATACGCCCTTGAGGTCTAGAAAAATTCATAAAACACTTGTTCAAAAAAGTGTTAAATGCTGTTGCCTTTTAAAAAAGGTTTAAAGGGGTGAAATTTTATAACACGTCTAAAAGGGTAAAATCCGCTGTTGAGCATTAAAACTATTCACAAGCACTTGCACAAAGAGTTTCAAATTCAAATGGCATTTGTAACAAAGGGGTAAAGGGGTAAAGGTTTCAAATTCTAGTGCCTCTAAAAAATCCGCCCTTGGGGTCTAAAAAAATTCATGAAACATTTTGCACAAGAAAGTTTCGAATTCTAATATCTAAAAATATTTAAAGGGGTGAAATCCGCCCTTGTAGCCTAAAAATATTCATGAAACACATGCCCAAAAATGTTTCGAATGCTAATAACTTTTAAAAATACCTAGAGGGGTGAAATCCGCCCTTGAAGTCTAAAAAAATTTATGAAACCCTTGCTCAAAAAAATTTCAAAGTCTGTTACCTTTTAAAAAAATGTCTAAAGGGGTAAAACTCGCCCTTGAGGTCTAAAAAATTCACTTTCGCAAAAAAGTTGCACATTCTGATGTCTTTTAAAAAATGTCTAAAGGGGCCAAATCCGCCCTTGAAGTATAAAAAAGTACATGTAAAACTTGCCCAAAAAGGTTTCAAATTCTAGTGACTAAAAAAATCCGCCCTTGAGGTCTAAAAAAATGCACAAAACATTTGCAACAGATAGTTTCGAATGCTAATGTCTAAAAATATCTAAATGGGTCAAATCCGCTCTTAAGTTTTAAAAAAATTCATCAAACACCACCCATACGATAAGATAAGACCGAAAAGCTTCGGGTTCTATAACTTCAAAAAATGGCCTAAAAGGGTGAAAACAGCCCTTGAGTTCTAAACAAATGTATGAAACGCTTGCACATAAAAAGGGTAAAATGCACCTTTGACTCTAAAAATACGAAGGGTACTAGTTCAAAAGTTACAGCCCTTTGAATTTTTTGTCGAAATTGGTTTCTAGTCCATAACTTTTGATTGAGAAGTCTGATCGAAAAGGTACGAATTGTTTTGGATTCTACGCACCAAAATTAATAAAAAAAGTGTTTTCCCGAGAAATTTTGGTGCAGTCGATTTTTGGTGACACGAATACACGATAATAGTGGGACACCCTGTATTCAAAAATAGTTTCTGTAGATGCGCAGACATCTGTATTTTTTTAATTTTTTACCAGGTATGAGCCAGGAAAGTCCGACACACTATTGCAGGACCCTGTATAAAATCAAAAATTGCAAAGTTACTTGAAACAGTGCTGATTCGTCTAACAAGATTTATATACAGGGTGTTGTTAAACATAAATGTATATTGTTCTAAAGACTGAAAATTCAAGGGGTTGGGACAGTTTCGGGGGACACTCAAAAATTCGGAGAATGGAATTCAAGAAATCGCGATAGCGCGCCACCTATGTCATTGTATCACATTTTTGAATTTTAGCACTGCCGAAAACCGGAAATAAAGGCTGTGAATGGGATCAATCTAACGATCTACGAGGGCCAAATAACGGCAATTTTGGGTCACAACGGTGCCGGAAAGACGACCCTGTTCAACATACTGACAGGCCTCACGGCGCCGTCGTCGGGCACCGCTTACGTTTTCGGTTACGACATAAGGTGAGAGCGCACCACGTAATGCCGGCGGAGACTCACGGCGGGAACATTCTAGGGACGCTGAGGACCTGGACCAGATCCGCCGGATGACGGGCGTCTGCCCGCAGCACGACATACTCTTCGATAACTTGACGCCGAAAGAGCACCTGGAGTTCTTCGCGTCGGTGAAAGGTATCCCGGCCAATATCAGGGACTACGAGGTGACGCGCACTTTGAAGGACATCGACCTGAGCGACAAGGCGGACAGCTTCGCCAAGCATCTGAGCGGTGGGCAAAAGAGGAAGCTGTCCGTTGGCATCGCGGTGATCGGCGATCCCAAGGTGAGACCGTCGCCGTCGGCGTCGTCATCGAACCTCTGTCTGTTTCAGATAATCATTCTAGACGAACCGACGGCGGGCGTCGACCCCTACTCGCGACGCCACATGTGGTCTGTCTTGCAAAACCGAAGGCACGGCAAGGTGATCTTGCTGACCACGCACTTCATGGACGAGGCGGACATCTTAGGTATGTAACCAACGGCGAGCTGATAAAATTAAAAACCTTCGTTCAGCCGACAGAAAGGCGGTGGTCTCCAAAGGCAAATTGCGCTGCTGCGGGAGCTCGCTCTTCTTGAAGAACAAGTTCGGGATCGGTTACCACTTGACGCTGGTCTTGGACGGTAAGTTTCCAAAATGATGGCCGATGGCTGACACGCCATTTTGTAGGCATAAGTCGAGAGCACGCGATCGCGAAGCTCGTGATGTCCCACGTGCCCAAAGCGGAAAAGGCGCGACGTCACGGGCGCGAGCTCAGCTTCATCCTACCCCACAACGCAGTCACCAGCTTCGCTCCGCTGTTCTCCGCCATAGAGCACGAGATCAACAGCTGCGGCAAGCTGGGTACGTAGACCGATTCGCCGATTACGTCCATCAACTCGGAGTTTCAGGCATATCCAGTTATGGGGTGTCGATGACGACCTTGGAGGAGGTGTTCCTGCACCTGGAGAGAGACGAGGAAGTCGAAGATTCCGTCGAGAATTTGTCGAAGAAGATGGTGCGTAGTCGGGCGCTTAGTAGAAGTTTAAGCTTGCAGAGCAAGAGCACGAGCTATCAGTCGTTGCAGAACGAAAATAACGCGAACCATCAGGATGCGAGAGGTAAGGGAATTCCCCCCAGGAAAAGAGAGATTTGGTTACCATCACCCAAAACGTTCAAGTCCATTTCGCATTTCTCTTTCTTGTACCCTACCTATTCATATTTGTCTTTTTTATCTTTTATTGTACCGTTTTTTGTTTCTGTATTTTCCTTCTTTCTTGTTGTGCGCATGTGTCTCCTCTATTTCAGCCTCTTCTTTTTTTTTGTTTTATTTTTGGTCTCTTTTTGGTTCTCAACTTTACCATACCGTCTCCATTGTTCTGTTTTTCATTAGTTTCCTTTTTCTATTTTCGTCCTTTGTTCCTATTTTTTTCGTCTCTAATCTCTTCTAACCTATTTCGATTTTTGTTTTATATTTTTGTTTTTGTCCTATATTTTTCCTGTTTATCCTTATTTATGCTTGTCATTTTTCTATTTATCATGCTCTTCCAATATTTCGCGTGTTACCCATTTTTTCACTGCTATTGCTCTACCAGTTCTTCTGGTTTTTTTCACTTCGCATTCTTTTCTTTGCTCTTCCTGCTTTTCTTGCACTTGTGGATATTCCCACACTTTGTCGTCTTTATCGTTTTTTTTTTGTAACTCGTACTTCTGTTTAGGTGTATTCGTCCTTGTTGCTCTTCCTGCGCCTTCCTTTCATTACGATCATCTCTTGTTCTCTCTCGTATTGCTTGCTCCACAGCCCTCACTGGTCTCGTTTTCATTGTCCTCGCTTTTCTTTTTTTTGCCATTTTCCCTTCTATGAGTCGTTTCTTTATATTATTGATCGTTAGCGTTATGCCCTTTCTTCTGGCGCATATTTAATTGCTATTCCTGATTTACATGTACTTCTTACTGGTTCTTCTGGATCTTACCATTTCTCTTGTTCTCGTCCAGTCGTTTTTCTCCTTTTTCTTTACATTTTTGTCCGCTTTTCTTGCTTTTTGTCACTTCTCGATTTTCCGTTCTCTCATTTTTGCTTCTTTCCCATTAGTATTTTTAATGTTTCCGTTTCTTTCCCTTCTTCAATCGTTCTCTCGCTCTTGCGTCTTTTGGTTCTTGCTTTATCTAATTGCTATCTTGTTTCCTCGCTATATTTATTTTCATCGTTTTTCTTCCTTTCCGCTATTTACTTTTGTTGCGTTCTTTCCTTGGTCTTCTCTCTTTCCGTGTTTTTCAATCGCTTCTGTTGCTCCTTTCCCTCCTTTGCACTTTCTCCACCCTTCTTTTCTCACACAACCCTCTTTTCTTCGTCACTTTCCCCGTTTTTCCCAATCTTCTCGCTCTTTCTGATCTTGTTCCTCAAATATTTTTGTTCCTCTCTCTCTCTCTTTCTCTGTATCTCAGACCGTTGACAATGTTCACTTACATCTTTTTCCTAGTTTTGTTTTTTCAACACGTCGTTTCAGATCTTTTCGTTTCTCCATCTTTCTTCGCTTCTCTGAGCCATGTGGTTCATGTCAAACTTCCTTTTGATACTCTTTCTTTCGCATTTCCGGCTCGTTTCTTTCTTTTCGTTCTCCTTTTTGTTCAGTCTTTCTTTCAACGTGCTTTTTGTTCCCACTCGATTCCAGTTGCAGTATGGTGTGTGTGTGGGGGGGGGAGTGAAATGTATTGGTCTCTCATGAATTGGTGAACCTATAATGAAAGTATTACAAAAAGAAAATATCGATTCGGGGGGGGGGGGGATGGTAATCGGGGCGGCTGCTGGTGCTGGTGGGTATGTGGGTAGAAAGATTTATAAAAGCTCAAAAATGGCAGCTCACCAAAGTTGGTGACAAGGAACTAAAGCGGATGCCGACCTCACACGATATGGGCGGCATTTTCTTAATTCATCTTTAATTAAAAATACGCACTAAGGTGGCACTTGTGGTATGTGGGGGGGGGGGGGCTGTTGAATAACGGCAGTTGAATTTCCTTACAACGAATCTTATTGACATTGATGACAGTGCGAGTGCGAGTCTGAACGCGTGAAGTCCATTAATAGGCTTAAAGGGGCGGGGGGGATTGGAGACAACTCTGGACACGACGATACATTGAATGGTATATTATGAGCTTTGGTATGGAAAAATTGTGTTTGGGAGGGGGTGGGGTGGCGGGTGTGCCTGTGCATGACTTATTCCCCTACGATGACTCGTGCCAACCTTGATGAACTTTTTAAATCACACAAAATCTATGCAGGGGGGTGGGGGCAGTTATGCTTCATGGGAATTTAGGGGAATAACACAAATCCCGCATACAGCAAAGAGTGTGCGAAACATCGTTTTAATGTTTGCTTTAGGAAGCTGCATAACAATTCCGTGGTCCCAGGGGCGGAGGTCGTACCGTACGTCGATGTCATTTAATCTACTCCACCTCCCTTCCCTTCAGTTTTTTAGGATCGAGAACACATCGTGGGTCGTTCACCATAAATGAATTATCACTAGATGGAGGTGAAAAGGCCGCCAACGTTGCATTTACCGTTCTGTTACACATTTTATCCCAAAGAAAATGGGGGGGGGGTCGTATAGAGAGGGGTAGGGACCCTTGAGCAAACTTTCTGGGAATAAGATAAGGTTGGAACTGCGATGGGTATCGGCACCCAAAATATATTTTGAGGAGGGAGGCTACAGTAAGGCTTAAGCATAAGTTCTAAGGACACTGAGTCCCACACCTTTTGTTTTCAGCTCAGCAAAAAAACGAGAGGCGCTTGAGACTGTTCGTGTCAAGCGCTAAAAGAACAAGGGTAAACCAAACAGGAACCGGGGGGAGAAGGAAGGGGGGGGTGAAGGAGCCACGGCATTGAACTTTAGTTAAGTACTGTCTTTCGAAAGTGGCTTGTCACTGCAGAACTCTAACGTTCCATTTATATTTCTTTCGTTCTGAAAGGGGGGGGGGGGATCTGTAACTGTTACGATTGAAACCTTCTTAAACACTTCCAAAGGTCACCCATCTGTGTTGCGCTTTGGCTACACCACGAACAGTGAAAGAATTATGGAAGTGTTAAGGAGGAGGGGGGGGAGAAGTTTTTTATTTCTCCATTGGAAGGGACAGGGATTTTTGCGTGAACTTTAAGGTAATAACATGAAATTGGTCACCACCTTTCAATTGGGATCAGCATCTGCACGTAAAACCAAAGTATACTCTGAGGATGGGGTTGAGGGACTGAGAGGTAGGAGGGGGGGGGGTAACTTTATAATTGTTCAGTACTTTTGAGTACGAATTTGCACGTGCACTTAATTTACCTGTCCACATAGGGATTACTTACTGCCATTTTTTGGTGGATGTATTTTACATAAAGTCTCGAATTTTAATTTAATCCGCAACACCTTCGTACTGAGAACTCGAGGAATTTTTTGAATTTGCTTACTTTCAGTCCTTCGAATTTGGACTGATTGAGCGCTAATCTTAATTACAGTTTCGACTTGCGCTGTAACAAATTTCAAAATGTGAATTGCCCCGACCTGAGCTCTATGACGGCTCAAAACGATTTAATTAAATTCCTCTCTCGTAATACCAAATATCAAATGGAAAACATAATCTACTACTTGAATGTGAAATTCCAACTTCTTTCAGGTGGTGGAGACCTTCAACTTCACGGCCTGGAGGTGATATGTGAGACCAAATCGCCAATAATAGGTTTAGGATTAGAAAAGATCGAAACGAAACCGAACATACCGCAAACGTTCATAGCTTTACTTAGCCTAAGATTACTTCGCTTAATACGCGACATACAGAAATTATATTTTATGATAATGCTACCGCTAGGACTCGCCGCCATTGGCCTATATTTAAATAGTATACAGAGCACGCACAGCAAAATGAACGTGCTGTACCTAAACTCGAGGACTTACGGCAACGAAACCACCATCCTCGTCTATAACGGCACCGACGGCAACATTGACCTCTTCATCGACACGTTACGCCAGGTCAGTCACGGGAGGGTTAGCATGTACGACGGTAACTTCTCGCTACTTTTAAATATCGCGCCCAATATGGCGGCCTTAAATATTAACCAATTGGATTTGCCGAACGTTAACATAACTGTGATCTACAACGACACCCTTCAGCACAGTCTACCGATCATCATCAACCTGGTGGACAACACCATCTACAGGTAACTCAAAACACTAACTGCCACCTTTACTCATCCAGATCTCCGCAGATATCTCATGAGAGGGCAGCACATGAGGTGGCGACCGATCGAGATCGGCGTCTACCCCTTCCAGCAGACGAGCCAGCCCGAAGAGTTCAACATCGGGGTATTCTCGACCTCCATCTTCTTAGGCATGATGTTCGTGTTGGTCCCCGTGAGCTTGGCGGTCGACATGGTTTACGACCGAGAGGTACGTGCGAACCCCACAGACTTCCGCTGATCCCCCTCGTTCGTAGATCAAGGCCAAAAACCAGCTACGCGTCAACGGTCTGACGTTCTCGATGTACTTCGTCACGTACTTCGTCGTGCTGGTCGCGCTGATGCTCTTGATATGCGCCGCGCTCCTCCTGATCATACTAATCTTCGACATCCCCTCGCTCAGGGGTCTACCCGCGTTGAGCATCCTTGCCATCCTCCTCCTGCTCCACTGCCCCGCCTCAATTCTCTTCGTCACCTGCATCAGCTACATCTTCGACAAGATGGACTCGGCCCTCTCCATCCTGCCCAACATCGCCACGCTCTTCGGAATGGTACCATTCTTCCTCGTGTTCGGCTTGGACATGTTCGGCATCGGTAAGTCTCTACTCGCAGACTCGCGTAATATCCCAACATTCCAGGAGGAAAATCGGCCTACATCCTTCACATCTTCTTCTCCCTGATTAACACAATGTACATACCATACGGGGCAGTCTACTACATCCAGCGGGTCTACCAGATGTGCACCGAGTACCGAGGCTGCACGAACATCAGCCTCGCCGACTACATGACGCACGAAATCATCGTGATGATAGTCGGCATCATCCTCCACCTCCCGATCTGGTTCTTCGTCCTTCTGGTCGTCGACATCGTGAAGAACGGCGGCAAGGTCTCCGACGCGTTCCAGGTCTTCAAGACGAAAAAGAAGGAGAGGTACGACGACCTACGCGAGCTGAGCGACATCGGCGAGAACGAGGACGACGACGTCAAGATCGAAAGGCAAAAGGTGAAGGAGCTGATCGGGAACACGACGCAGAGTCCTCCGGTTATCGTCGTGCAAAATTTGCACAAGGAGTACAAGAGGAGGCAGTCGAAGATCTGCGCGAGATTTTGCAATAACGACGAGGAGTGCAAGACGAAGGTGGCCGTCAAGAGTTTGTCGCTGGCGGTCGACGCGGGGGAGGTCTTCGGGCTGCTCGGCCATAACGGTGCGGGAAAGACGACGACGATGAAGATTATTATTGCGGAAGAAGCGCCGACGAGAGGAAGGGTAAGGAAACTTCCCCCTCCTTACTAATTTATATACATAATTAGAATCAAGTGTGCATTCTGTAATTAATTAATAATTATCAAAAAGGTTCTATTTCTACAACTTTAAATTCAAAATGGAGGGTTTTTAAATTTGAAATTTTGATTTCTAAAATTTTAAATCCAATCCTCCCAAATTCAATTAGAAACTGGAAATGCGGATATAAAAAGGTTCAATCTTCAATCGCAGACCTTGGTAATTGAACCTTTACGCTTGGATTTCAATTTTCAAACCTTAAAGGTCACGTTTTAAGGAGAAAATTGCAATTCTGAATTCAAAACGAAAAAAACTGAGCCTTTTTTGGAGTAGAGGCCTTCGATTTTGACTTTGCAATTATAAATCCAATTCTTCCGTCATCAATCTCAAACATAACACGTTAAATTCGAACCTTAACTGACCTAGTTCAAATTTCCAAGCCCGTAATCGGAATTGGAAGGTTCATTCTTCAATTGCAGACATTGGAATTCAGCCTTTAGGCTTGGATTTCGATTTTGAAACCTTAAAGGTCGCGTTTTAATGACATAATTGTAATTTTAAATGCATACGAAAGAGACGTAGTCATTTTTTGGAGTACAGGCCTTGAACCTTCGATTTTGACTTTGCAATTTTAAATCCAATTGTTCCGTCTTTAATTTCAACCATAAAACGTTAAATTCGAACCTTAACTGACATTGGAATTGAGCCTTTAGGCTTGGATTTTGATTTGGAAACCTTAAAGGTCACGTTTTAATGACAAAATTGAAATTCTGAATTCAAAATGAAAAAATGAAATTTTAAATCTAATTGTTCCGTCTTTAATTTCAACCATAAAACGTTTAATTCGAACCTTAACTGACCTAGTTCATATTTTCAAGCCCGAAACCGAAAATCTGAAGGTTCATTCATCAATTGCAGACATTGAAATTGAGCCTTTAGGCTTGGATTTCGATTTTCACACTTTAAAGGCCACGTTTTACCTAATGACAGAATTGTAATTCTGAACTCAAAACGAAAAAAACTGAGCCTTTTTTGGAGCAGAGGTCTTGAACCTTCGATTTTTTACTTTGCAATTATAAATCCAATTAGTCCGTCTTCAATTTCAACCATAAAACGTTAAATTCGAACCTTATCTGACCTAATTCATATTTTCAAGCCCAAAATCCGAAATCGGAAGGTTCATTCTTCAATTGTAGACATTGGAATTGAGCCTTTAGGCTTGGATGATTTTGAAACCTTAAAGGTCACGTTTTAATGACAGAATCGTAATTCTGATTTCAAAACGAAACCTTTTTTGGAATAGAAGCATTGAACTTTCGATTTTGACTCTGCAATTTTAAATCCAATTGTTCCGTCTTTAATTTCAGATCTAAAACGTTAAATTCGAACCTTAACTGACCTAGTTCAAATTTCCAATCCCGAAATCGGAAATCGGAAGGTTCATTCTCCAATTTCAGGCATTGGAATTGAGCCTTTAGGTTTGGATTTCGTTTTTCAAATCTTAAAAGTCACATTTTAATCACAGAATCGTAATTCTGAATTCAAAATGAAACCTTTTTTGGGGTAGAGGCCTTGAACCTTCGATTTTGACTTTGCAATTTTAAATTCAATTGTTCCTTCTTCAATTTCAAACACAAAACGTTAAATTCGAACCTTAACTGTCCTAGTTCAAATTTTCAAGCCCGAAATCGAAAATCGGTAGGTTCATTCTTCAATTGCAGACATTGGAATTGAGCCTTTAGGCTTGGATTTTGATTTTGAAACCCTAAAGGTCACGTTTTAATGACAAAATTGAAATTCTGAATTCAAAATGAAAACACTGAGCCTTTTTTTGGAGTACAGGCCTTGAACCTTGGACTTTGACTTTGCAATTTTAAATCAAATTGTTTCGTCTTCAATTCCAAATATGAAACGTTAAATTCGAACCTTAACTGACATTGGAATTGAGCCTTTAGGCTTGGATTTTGATTTTGAAACATTAAAGGTCACGTTTTAATGACAAAATTGAAATTCTGAATTCACAATGAAAAAAACTGAGCCTTTTTTTGGAGCACAGGTGTTGAACCTTCGATTTTGACTGTGCAATTTTAAATCTAATTGTTCTATCTTTAATTTCAACCATAAAACGTTAAATTCGAACCTTAACTGACCTAGTTCAAATTTCCAAGCTCGAAATCGAAAATCGGAAGGTTCATTCTTCAATTGCAGACATTGGAATTGAGCCTTTAGGCTTGGATTTCGATTTTCAAATCTTAAAAGTCACGTTTTAATGACAGAATTGTAATTCTGTATTCAAAAAAAAAACTGAGCCTTTCTAGGAGTAGAGGCCTTGAACCCTCTATTTTGACCTTTGCAATTTTTAAATCCAATTGTTCCGTCTTCAATTTCAAACCTAAAATGGTTAATTCGAACCTTAACTGACCTAGTTCAAATTTCCAAGCTCGAAATCGAAAATCGGAAGATTCATTCTTCAATTGCAGACGGAATTGAGCCTTTAGGCTTGGCTTTCGATTTTCAAAACCTTAAAAGTAACGTTTTTTAGTGACAGAATTGTAATTCTGAATTCAAAACGAAAAAAACTGGCGTTTTTTTGAAGTAGAGGCTTTGAACTTTCGATTTTGACTTTGCAATTTTAAATCCAATTGTTCCGTCTTTAATTTCAACCATAAAACGTTAATTCGAACCTTTACTGACCTAGTTCAAATTTCCAAGTCCGAAATCGAAATTCGGAAGGTTCATTCTTCAATTGCAGTAATTGGAAATGAGCCTTTATGCTTGGATTTCGATTTTCAAACCTTAAAGGTCACGTTTCAATGACAGAATTGTAATTCTGAACTCAAAACGAAAAAAACTGGGCCTTTTTTAAATAGAGGCCTTGAACCTTCGATTTTGACTTGGCAATTATATAATTCCAATTGTTCCGTCATTAATTTCAAACATAAAACGTTAAATTCGAACTTTAACTGAACTATTTCAAATTTCCAAGCCTGAAATCGAAAATCGGAAGGTTCATTCTTCCAATTGCAGACATTGGAAAAAACGAAAAAAACTGGGCCTTTTTTAAATAGAGGCCTTGAACCTTCGATTTTGACTTGGCAATTATAATTCCAATTGTTCCGTCATTAATTTCAAACATAAAACGTTAAATTCGAACCTTAACTGACCTAGTTCAAATTTCCAAGCCCGAAATCGAAAATCGAAAGGTTCATTCTTCAATTGCTGACATTGGAATTGAGCCTTTAGGCTTGGATTTCGATTTTCAAACCTTAAGGCTCACGTCATTATTTGCTTATTCATTTTCTTTTGCTCGATTAGCTGTACGACCTCGGCTCCTTATACTCCCTCCGGTTCTTGTACTTTGGTTCTAGGAGCTCGTGATTTTTAGAAACTCTTAGTGCTTCTGACGTGCTCCCTCGGTTTCTTCGGATGCTTCCGAATCTTCATAGCTCTCTACCTTTTCCCAGTTCGACCTTAAGTAATTATATCGTTGACAGGTCCAAATTGGAGGCCATAACATAACGTGCAGCTTAGACAACGCCTTTCAACTCCTCGGCTACTGCCCGCAGCACGACGCCTTATGGAAGAACATAACGGTGCGCGAGCACCTCGAGTGCTACGCGGCGATACGCGGCGTGCCCTTCAAGGACATACCCAGAGTCGTCGAGCTCTACCTCGCCGGCTTGCAGATCGAAGAGCACGCGTCCAAGCAAACGCAGCACTGCTCTGGAGGCACCAGACGCAAGCTATCCTTCGCCATGGCGATGGTGGGCAATCCCAAGATCGTCCTCCTAGACGAGCCCAGTACGGGGATGGACCCGCGCAGCAAGCGGTTCCTGTGGGACACAATCCTGGCCAGCTTCCAGGTAGGTGCGATCTTCAAGGTGGTAGGCTTCACTGATTGGTTTAAAGGGGAGCAGAGGTGCGATTCTAACCACGCACTCAATGGAGGAGGCGGATGCGTTGTGTTCACGCGTCGGGATCATGGTCAAGGGCGAGCTGAGATGCTTGGGCTCGACGCAACACTTGAAGAACCTCTACGGTGCCGGTTACACCTTGGAAATGAAGTTGAAGGGAGGCGATCGGACGCCGACCTCCTCGTCCGTCGACCGCCTGAAGAGCCTGAAGCAGTTCGTTTACGGCCTCTTCCCCTCGGCGGTGCTCCAGGAGAGCTTCATCGATCGCTTGGTCTTCAGTGTTCCACAACAAAGTGTTCCTTCTTTAGCAAACTGCTTTTCGGAGTTAGAGCAAGGTAAGCTACTCCGCGAATCCACTCTCACCCTCACTCCTCTATTGCAGTCAAAACCGAGCTCGACGTTGAGGAGTACTGCTTCAGCCAGACCACCTTGGAGCAGGTCTTCCTCAAGTTCGCGCAGTACGACGAGGTGAACAATAGCGAATAGGATCGGATTACGTTTTAACGTTGATAATTATTAGTAATTTTTAGTAGCAGAGTGCACTCATGTGATACTTTTAATAATTAATTAGGTAATTAAATCAAATTTACTTTTGACACAATGTAAATTAATTGCACCGAGAAGTATTGTTAGCAAGACCGTTTTTTCGTACTTTTGAACGAATAGCGATGGATATAATATTAGAAAATTAAGTAACAATAAATTGACGTAGGGGAATTTGTTCTTCAAATCTCTCTAGAAATTGCTGTGTTCACTTTTTAACGGTTGCGGAAGAGAAACATTTTTGGTACAATGCGCCTTTGTTCTGTAATTAAAGCTGATTTAGTAAATCTTATTACTTGATGAGTTGTTCGTTTTCCCGGTAGTTGGCGACACAAGTGCACGTGTCGGTAAAGCAGGAATCTTCGAAATAATTTTAAAGGTATCAAGAGAGGTTTAGAGCGTCACAAGAACTTCACGGGTTTCTCAAGAGAGGGATTCCAGGAAATTAAGGTTCCAAATTTCCAAAAGTTTCGAAAGTTCCACGGTTTCGGGGGAATTTCGGGAATATTTCTAAAAAATCTGCCAAAAATTATGAACGGGATCCCAAGGTTTTGAGAGCTTAATAACCTCATGAAAATTTAAAGGGTTGGAGGGGGTTTTAATCGTTCCTTGAGAGATTTTCTTGAGTTCTAGTGCTGAACGTCTTTAAAAAGGTGCAAAATCACTTTGTATCTCTGGAAGATTTCCTGAAGTTCCTACAAAGCTCTGGTGAAAGAAGCATTGCATCGGACATCGTACCGGCGACCGTGGAGGGGTTGTGGAATAGCCCCCAGGCAAAGGACCACTAGATAAATCTTTTCCCTCTCACACTTGGTAGCCTTCATGGGTTCTGGAAGTGACAATACCAATTCCATACCGAGGGTTACGGGAAAAGATTTATCTAGTGGTTCCTTTCCGAGCGCTCTTAGTGCTCCCCCCCCCCCCCAGACCCCTCGGTAACTCTTTTGCTCACAAAACGTTTAGCTTTTAAGACTCGTCATGCGCCATAGTTTGTTTGCAAAAAAAAATTATCACATTCTCTTCTGTAAAGGACTCTCTCTGCATAGATCACAGTACGGGGGGGGGGGGGTCTGGGGGTATGGTGTACCCCCCCGATGAGAGCCTTCGAAAAGGGACGACTAGATAAACATTTTCTCTCTAACCCTCGGTAGTCTCATGGGTTCTGGAAATGTCAATAGAGCCAGTACATATTGAGGGAGTATTCCATACCCCCCGGGTCCCCCGGTAACACTTTCGCTTGTAAAACGTTTAGCCCTCAGGACTCTCACAACAGTTTTTTGAAAAATGATCGGATCCCGTTATGCAAACAAGTATTACATAGAACATAATACCGAGGGGTCTGGGGGGTATGGAATACCCCCCCCCCCCCAGCAGAAAGAGTATTCGACACAGTACGACTCGATAACTCCTCACCATCGATCCCTTTGTACTCTTATGGGGGTTTTCAGTAAATGACAATCGAAATATCGCATACGGGGGGTGGGGGGTTTTCCATACCACCCAGACCCCTCGGTAACACTTCCCCCACAAAACGTTTCGCTTTCAGGACTCTCATAATGCTTTTTTTTAAAGAAATTATCACATCCTCTTCTCCAAAGAAGTATTGCATAGAACATACCACCGGTAGGTCTTGTTGTTATGGAATACCCCTCAGCAGTAACAATGGTCATCGATTTTTTCCCACCCGCGCGTTAGTAAGGGAGGTACTGCATTTATGTATACAATGACCCCCATAATCCATAATTTCAAACAGTTCCAAGATTGGGCTACTAGTTCAAAAGTTACAGCCCTTTGAATTTTCTTTCGAAATTGGTTTCTAGTCCATAACTTTTGATTGAGAAGTCCGATCGAAAAAGTACGAATTGTTTTGGATTCTACGCACCAAAATTAATAAGAAAAAGTGTTTTCCCGAGAAATTTTGGTGCAGTCGATTTTTGGTAAAAAAGGAAGGTTATACACTGCCTTTTTTTGAGCCCCGAAAAAAAAATTGTCTCAGATCGACCCGAAAAAAAATTTTCTTATGGAATGTGGCCTGTAGAATCCATAATTTCAAACAGTTCCAAGATTGGGCTACTAGTTCAAAAGTTACAGCCCTTTGAAATTTCTTTCGAAATTGGTTTCTAGTCCATAACTTTTGATTGAGAAGTCCGATCGAAAAAGTACGATTTGTTTTGGATTCTACGCACCAAAATTAATAAGACAAAGTGTTTTCCCGAGAAATTTTGGTTTGGTCGATTTTTGGTAAAAAGGGAAGGTTATACACTGTCTTTTTTTGAGCCCCTAAAAAAATATTGTTTCAGATCGACCCCGAAAAAAATTGTCGTATGGAATGTGGCCTGTAGAATCCATAATTTCAAACAGTTCAAAGATTGGGCTACTAGTTCAAAAGTTACAGCCCTTTGAATTTTCTTTCGAAATTGGTTTCTAGTCCATAACTTTTCATTGAGAAGTCCGATCGAAAAAGTACGATTTGTTTTGGATTCTACGCACCAAAATTAATAAGACAAAGTGTTTTCCCGAGAAATTTTGGTTTGGTCGATTTTTGGTAAAAAGGGAAGGTTATACACTGCCTTTCTTTGAGCCCCTAAAAAAATATTGTTTCAGATCGACCCCGAAAAAAATTGTCGTATGGAATGTGGCCTGTAGAATCCATAATTTCAAACAGTTCCAAGATTGGGCTACCATTTCAAAAGTTACAGCCCTTTGAATTTTCTTTCGAAATTGGTTTCTAGTCTATAACTTTTGATTGAGAAGTCTGATCGAAAAAGTACGAATTGATTTGGATCTACGCACCCAAATTAATACGAAAAAGTGTTTTCCCGAGAAATTTGGTGCAGTCGATTTTTGGTAAAAAAGGAAGGTTATACACTGCCTTTTTTTGAGCCCCGAAAAAAAATTGTCTCAGATCGACCCGGAAAAAAAATTTTCTTATAGAATGTGGCCTGTAGAATCCATAATTTCAAACAGTTCCAAGATTGGGCTACTAGTTCAAAAGTTACAGCTCTTTGAATTTTCTTTCGAAATTGGTTTCTAGTCCATAACTTTTGATTGAGAAGTCTGATCGAAAAAGTACGAATTGTTTTGGATTCTACGCACCAAAATTAATAAGAAAAAGTGTTTTCCCGAGAAATTTTGGTGCAGTTGATTTTTTGTAAAAAAGGAAGGTTATTAACACTGCATTTTTTTGAGCCCGAAAAAAAAATTGTCTCAGATCGACCCGGAAAAAATTTTTTTTATAGAATGTGGCCTGTAGAATCCATAATTTCCAACAGTTCCAAGATTGGGCTTCTAGTTCAAAAGTTACAGCCCTTTGAATTTTCTTTCGAAATTGGTTTCTAGTCAGGGGCGGGCCAGGTGGAATTGCATAGGTTACGGGCCATTAAAGTATTAGTGTAGTAATGAAGGTGGCGGGGGTAGCTCTGCGGTGCACCACAAAAACATTTTTTGCTTCATTTTAAGGTACTCCTTTTTCGGAAATCAATTACAATACAGTTTTTTTTTAAATTGCAGCTGATAATTAAAAGTAACAAAATATACAATCCAAACGAGGCGCGTCGCCTATCATTGTATTTCAGCACTTTCATGCTACGACAAAAAATGATAAATTCATTGTAAAACACTTCAATTAAAACAGAATTTTTAAATTTTTTAACAACCTAACATCAACCCCAATTAGAGAAACGTGTTAATATAATTTATTAATAGTGCAAGAAACTAAATACAGCACATACTTATAAATTTCTAACGGGCCATTATGACGTACAGACCAGGCGGCAATCGCCACCCGCCCCCCCCCGGGCCAGTCCGCCCCTGAATGTTTGTTTTTAGTCCAGGCTATATAATATTTTTGTATGAAAAAATTAGTTACCGGGCGAAACCGGGTTTTTCATAGAATTTGGGAAAAAATAATTAAAACAGCTGAATTTGTCCGCGGGTGAAATCACGGGGGTTGAAAGGGGTGGAAAGTGGTATTTTGCAAATTGTGGTAAAACTATTGATTTTAGACGAAAATGTTAAATGTAAAAGTTATAGAGATTAAAAAAATGAGCAACTTTTGTATCTACACTATTTTCACATAACCTCCAATTTTCCTAGAAAAACCGGAAAAACTGTTTTTTTCGTTTTTTATTCTTATTTTTGCGAAAAAATGTCGGAGGGGTTTGAAATTTGGAGGTAACATAACCTGTGAATCACTAATTTCAAACAGTTCCAAGATTGGGTTACTAGTTCAAAAGTTACAGCCCTTTGAATTTTTTTCCGAAATTGGTTTCTATTCTATAACTTTTGATTGAGAAGTCTGATCGAAAAAGTACGAATTGATTTGGATTCTACGCACCAAAATTAAAAAGAAAAAGTGTTTTCCCGAGAAATTTTGGTGTAGTCGATTTTTGGTAAAAAAGGAAGGTTATACACTGCCTTTTTTTGAGCCCCGAAAAAAAAATTATCTCAGATCGACCCGGAAAAAAAATTTTCTTATAGAATGTGGCCTGTAGAATCCATAATTTCAAACAGTTCCAAGATTGGCTACTAGTTCAAAAGTTACAGCCCTTTGAATTTTTTTTCGAAATTGGTTTCTAGACTATAACTTTTGATTGAGAAGTCTGATCGAAAAAAGTACGAATTGTTTTGGATTCTACGCACCAAAATTAATAAGAAAAAGTGTTTTCCCGAGAAATTTTGGTGCAGTCGATTTTTGGTAAAAAAGGAAGGTTATAACTGCCTTTTTTTGAGCCCCGAAAAAAAAATTGTCTCAGATCGACCCGGAAAAAAAATTTTCTTATAGAATGTGGCCTGTAGAATCCATAATTTCAAACAGTTCCAAAATTGGGCTACTAGTTCAAAAGTTACAGCCCTTTGGGTGGTTAATCAATTACTTCCGTAAGGCAGCTGCTCTAAGACTAAAAAGTTCCCCAAAGAATAGGAAGCTACCCGCCGTAAATAAGATTAACAGAAATGTACTAATCATCAAACAGCACAGACGGAAAACAAAAGACCCAAGGAAGAACATTCCAATGGCACCGTAGAAGCAAGAACTACACTCAAGCGCAGTTAGGTATCTAGCTATTACTAAGCATATAATTGTAAATATACAACAGCCTTTTGTAATTAATAATGTTCATTAGAGCCATTTGCCTACTCAATAAAGTATGAAACGTATTGAGCAAGTTGTTTCTTATGAAATTTATACGTATTAACCTATAACAAAATTACCATAAAATCCAAAACTAAATCTGGCAACTACGTTTTGCACATTGACAGGAAATTGTCATTTTGTATAAAATGGACATAACCTAATGAGT